CTTCTAAGTATTAGCACATGAAGCACTTTCGAGGTGTCTCTTGGGGACACAATCCGCCCACAACAGATGGAGCTGCGTGCAGATTCCCCAGCCTCAAGCATGAGTGGGCACACAGAGCTGCAGGGGTAGGAGTTTATTTTGGGGGTGAATACACGAGAAGGAAGCACTTTCTTCTAACTCTCCCTGTATTCTTGAAAGGGCCACCCTCACCCTGGCAGGGAGCTGGACCTAAGCTAAAATTAACTTTGGCATATAATAGTGAAAAGAAATCTTGGATCATCTAGTCCAAGTTCTTTGAAACCAAGGCCCAATATAAAGTAATTAATCTGCAACCACCAACTAATTTGTTCACTTGGAAAATCAGTGTATTTGTTTTCTAAAACATTTATTTGAAAGAGCAACTGAGAAGGGTAGAGATTTAGAGACAGAGATACAGAGAGAGATCTTCTCTGCTCACTCCCTGAATGCCCACATAGAGTGGAAAAGGAAGTGGAGCAGCCAAGACTTGAACTGGTGCCCATCCTGGATGCCAGCACTGCAGGTGGCAGCTTTAACTGTAACGCCACAGCACCGGCCTTCTGATATTTTCTGACTGGTGCTGTGGGAAAAAGTGTGACTTTTGAAAGTAAGCCTGCTAAAGGAAGATGGTGATTTATATTTTACACCATTTAAAATGTGAGCAAATGAGATTTTCATGTAACTTAGCAACTTGCACTTTCTGAGTATAAAGTGGAAATGTATTTTAAGTGTTATTTTTATTTATTTGAAAGGCAGAGTGAGAGAAAGCGAGAATCTTCCATCCACAGGTCGCAACGGCTGGAGCTTCACCAGGCTGAAGCCAGGAGTCTGGAGCTTCTTCTGGGTCTCCAATGAGGGTGGCAGGGGCTCAAACATTTGAGCCATCTTCCACTGCTTTCCCAGGTGCATTAGCAGGGAGCTGGACTGGGAGTGGAGCAGCCAGTTCTTGAACTGGTGCTTACATGGGATGATGGTGTCGTAGGAGGCAGCTTAACCTGCTACACCACAATGCCACTCTCTCCTGTTTTTCTTATTACATTATAGCTAGACCTCCACTTAAGCTCACACTATCTTCCTCCAAGAATGATGCCTTCATTGTCAAGCAGACAATGTCTTCGGAGTCCAAAGGGAAATAGCTTACAGTGTAGAATGAGGACAAACTGGGTCAGTAAGCAATATTATAATCTAAACAGGAAAAATTCTAGATTTTTAAAAAGAAAAAAAAATCAAACCCTCCCAATCTGGCTCAAAAAGGCATACTTATTCATCATCCCTCAGAGTTGAGAGCGAGCTGTGTGAGACAGCAGAGAGAAACATATAAATCAAGATACTGGAGTCAATGTGGCAAAATGTTTAAACACTGTTAAATCTTGAAAGTAAAAAAAATGGACCCAGTGCTGTAGTGCAGCACAGTGGGTTAAGCCACGGCCTGTAGCACTGGCATCCCATATGGACACCAGTTTGGGTCCCAGCTGCTCCACTTTCAATCCAGCTCCCTGCTAATGTACCTGGGAAAGCAGCAGAAGACTTGGGCTCCTGCACCCATGTGGGAGACTTGGAAGAGGCTTCTGGCTCCTGGCTTCATCCTGGCCCAATCCCTGTAGCTGCAGCCATTTGGGGAGTGGAACAGTGGATGGAAGATCTCTGCCTCTCCTTCTCTCTCCAACTCTGCCTTTCAAATAAATAAAAATAAAAAATTATAAAAAGAATTTAGAAACAAGAAAGAGAAAAAAGATGCTGGGGGGCAGGCTGGATGTTTAGCACAGCAGTTAAGACACCACTTGAGACACTCACATCGCAGTGCCTGGTTCACATCCCAGCTCCTCTGCTTTGGATCCAGCTTCTTGCTACCCTGGGGAGGCACCAAATGATGGCTCAAGTACTTGAGTCCCTGCCACCTAGGAGGGAGACTCAGACTGATTTCTGGGTTCCTGGCTTTGGGCTGGCTCAGCCTTGGCTGATGCAGGTGTTTGGGGAGTGAACCAGCAGATGGGAGCTCTCTGTTTGCCTTTTAAGTAAGATGAAAATAAGAAAGAAAGGAAAAAAAAAAAAAAAAGATGCTGCTTGAAGAATCTAAGGCATTGTTTCCAAGACTTTTTCACATCCCATCTTGTTATAGCCAAGAACCACTTTTAATAATTTTTTTAAATCAATAACAAAATGCGCTAGCAGGCATAGAAGTTGGAACAGGCCAAGAGAAATAAAGCTGTATAGAGACTGAGGGCACAGAGAAGACTGGATACAACAAAGTAGGGAGGGAGAAGTAGGTCTGGGGCTTGAACCAAGTGGTGGAGAATGAAAGCAAGAAGCAGTTACTGAGAATACTTTAAGAAAGATGGCAGCTCCTGCTAAGGAAGGAGACTTGGAAGCCAGGATAGTGGCACTGAAGAAAGGAGCCCTGGGGCTAAGAAAGGTGGGGTCCGAGCAGCGAACAGAAGGGATGGGGAGACCCAGGCTGAAGATATCCTGAGGGTATTCAAGAGGACTGCAGGATGGCAAGAGATGCTGCTTAGAAAGTTAAGGGGACGAGGATCAGAGGGAGACCTGAGGGCCAGGTGGGGCAAGGGCTGCTAAAGGGTGAAATGGGGCACATGACACAGGGGGGAAGTGGTTCGGTGCTCAGCCCCAGGGTGGTGCACTTCACAGGTTGTGCCCAAGTCTGAATGCTGACCTCAGTGGTTATGGTAAGCTTCCCACCCATATTCCTGTACCATTGAAAAATCAACTCTCATCTCCAGTAGTGTTTACCACTCTTTGAAAAACACTGGTGTGGGCTAAGGATGATAAAAAGAGCAGGATATTAAAGAAAAAGCTACAGAGGCCATTGCTAAATTTCTAGAATTCTTAGGTTATCATTATTTTGTTTCATCTTACCCTTGACAGTGGCTAGGCATGAAGCTTTGTATATAACAGGCCCTCAGATATTCAACTGTATAAAAGACATAATTAGAGATGAATCTTCTGAGACATTTCTTAATAGCATCCCATTCGTGAACTACAAGGGTAAGGGGAGATATGTCGGACAGGCCTGACAGAATGTTTGTATTCACAAGAGGGAATACTTCAGGTACCTGACATGCTGCCCTAGCTCACTGGGAACCAGAAGGGTCCTTACGGCTTTAGAGACCACAGGAAAGTGAGTAAAAACAAAGAAATGATACTGCAAAGCACCATTGCCTGTAAAACCACTTTTAGATAAAATACATGCTCCTAAAAGGCAACTTGAGAACTTGTGCTAAAAGATCCTTAGGTTACCCTCATGATTCTGAGAAGCACACCTTTGTGTAACACGCCCACCCCTTAAGTGTGGGTGAGACCCATGACTTGCTACTAACCACACATGGCAAAAATGATGGAAAGTCCCTCCCATAATTACATTAAGTTATATAAGACTATCTTACCAGCAATGTTTCTCTGATTCTCCTGGTAGCCTTGGATAAGCAGTCAGGGTGTAAGCAGCCTAAGAGGGCCAAGTGACAGAGAACGGTGGGTATCCTCTAGCCACTGCTCAGCAAGAAAATAAAGTCCTTACATCTATAGCTGCAGGGTGAATTCTCCCAACAATCTGAAACATTTGGGAAAAGCAGACTCTCACCCAGTCAAACCACAGCCCTGATCGTACCTTGACTGTAGCCGTGTGAGGTACAGAGTAAAGCGTCCTAATTCAAAGAAACTGTGTAGTAAATAATAAACGCATGTTTTAACCCATTAAGTTTATGGCTTATGTACTGTAGAACCTTAAAACAGAAATCTTATATATATATGTATATGTATATGTGTGTGTATGTATGTATGTGTGTATATATATATATATATATGAAAAAGCAGAAGGAAAGTAGTATTGGGTTACTGGCCATTTGAGATATTTATTAATGACGATCAAACATCTGCAGGGCAGTCCTCAACGCTCATTTCCATGATTTTAAAAGTTGGTACTTCCTTGTCATGATTATTGTCACCTCTGACACTGGAGAACTGAACCGATTCGGAGAATGATGTGTTAAGACAACTGAAGTCTTCTAAAGTTTCGAGCTTTTCAGTGTCACTATCATCTTCAATGACATTCACAGAGGTTTCCTGGTCTGTTAAACTGTCTGAAACACTTGGATTGCTGTCATCACAGGCTGAAGGTTCAAGATTCGTTTCTTTAGTCACCTGCTGAATAATAACCCCTGGTGAATACTTTGATTTATAGATGGGCATAAAAAATTCAGTTGGTGAGAATATCTCAGCAGTCTCCTCCTTTGGTGCAGACAGTAACATATTCAAAGCCTGCTGGTACTCATGGCGCTCCTGTTCTACTGCGGCTTCATTTTCACATTTCAATCCGCTTTGTGTAGAACTCCGGGCCTTTTCAGAATCAAGCAGATCCGACACACCGACCTCACTTAGCTGTGCTGGGTCTGCCCCGGATGTGCAGCCCAAGTCCACCTTCAGGCCATGCAGCAGCTGACGCATTTTTTCCTTGGATCAAGAAAACAGGATTACATTAATTAAGCTAATAATTGGGATTACTTTTGTCTGTGGTGCTGAAAATCTCAGAATTAATACTTTCCTTTCTCCCCCTTATGCCACCCCCACAAAACATTCAAGGAAAGAAAAGTGCTTGCTTTTAATGGGTTCATTGAGGATAAAAAATAATTTTAACATTTCCATACTGAAATTTTTCTAATGAAATTCTAAGGAAAGACAAACCTCCTCTAGATGATGTTTATTTTGTGTTATATGTTGTTCAAACAGTCGTTCTAAAAACCTACAAATGAAAAATGAAAATGTTAATGTCTAAAAATCAGAAGATCAATTAAATATAAAATAGCTGTGTAATACTGAAACTGCTAAAAGATGGAAATACTTTTTAGAACGATCTTTCCATCTCTCAAGCAGGAGACTAATCCTTCCCTGCTGGTCAAGTTCTCCAACTTGGAAGCTAGTCGCTTCCATGATGCAGCTGCTTTAGGTTACATAACAGAGGACAAACGTTTCTGAGATTCCATGCTACTTTGTTTCTGAATATAAAATGATCTTTAAAAATTAATTATTTTTAAAGGCTGATAAGTTTACATATATACACTGAGGGAGACAGACAGACAGAGCTTTTCTGCCTACTGGTTCACTTCCCATATGCCCCAAGCATGGGCCAGGCAAGAGCCAGGAGTCTGGAAGTCAATGCAGGTCTCCCAAATGGGTGGCAGGGACCCAAGCACTGGGACCATTATCGGCTGCCTCCTGCCAAGCGTGTCAGGGAGCCGGATCACAAGCAGGGCCGGCACTCGAACAGGCACTCTGACACGGGGATGTGGGCACCCCAACTGGTATCTTAACCACTGCATCAAACACCTGCCCTGAAGAAAATATTTTAAATGAGACACAAAGATTCTTTCCCTCTAACCCCTCACTGCTTCTTCTCCACATACATGTAAATATCAAAATCTTCTTTCCCAGTCTGTTTCACATATATGCATGTCCTTAAAACCCTAAAAAAAATCCTCTTACAGAGATACTTTACAATGGTTCTTGAATTGAAAAGTTTCCCTGATGTTAAATCACATAATAAATCACAAGTTATCACGAAGTCCAACTAGGTGCTAGGCATTTGTGTTAAACACATAGCAATCATCTCATCTCTAATCATGACAAATGTTAGGAGAGGAAGGTATTGTAAAAATCAAATAAATATTAGAAAACTACATCTGTAAAATGATAATTCTTCTCCCCTAGGGTCACAAGCCACTAAGAGAATTTAACCCAGATGTGGAGAACTTATTCTTTCCACTTTATCATGCTCATCTCTCTGTTACATTAATGCATCAATAGGTTTCTCAAAAATCAACTGATTTCTTTTATTACTTTTTGTTACCATCAATGAAGCTGAGAACTGACATTAGTGTTTTAGTTCTGAATTATTTAGTAATTCTTAAAAAACCCAATTAATCTGTATTCTACTTTTAAAATAATAATTTCACAGTAAACAGACTTATAATCTTAACAGAAAAATGCAAAAACTGAAGCACAAACATGATTTTATATGCAAATCTTTTTGTGGTAATAAAATAACAAGATTTGTCATCTTGCCCATTTTTAGGCATACAGTTCAATAGTGTTCACATTGTGGTGAAGCAACTCTCTAAAACTTTTTCATCTCGCAAATGTGAAACCCTATACCCGTTATACAAATATATTTAACAATTTTTTTTAATTGAGAGGCACAGACAGAGATAGAAGGAGATGGGAGACAGATATGGGGGTCTGGAGAGAGAGAGAGAGACAGAGAGATAGACAGACAGTCTCATCTGCTGCAATGGTTAGGGCTAGACTGGGGCTGAAGTGAAAGCTGGGAATTTAATCCAGCTCTTCCACACAGGTAGCCTCCCACATCTGTGTTCTGCATTAGCTGGAAGCTTGGAGTCAAGAGCTGCAGCAAGAATGGAACCCAGGTACTTTGATGCGAGTGGTGACATCTTAGTACCGGGCTAAACAACTGCTTTATGCAAACATTTTAAACCAACTTTTTAAAATGAAAGATGTAAATAATTATTGGCAGAAAAATTAGGTCCTTTTGATATGCCTTTTTATATCAATAATGAAAATGTTTGCTTTAATTAAAAGAAAAAACTCAATGTAGGGGATAGAAATAATTCATTGGAAATGTCTGCAATTGGCATATTATTATGAGAAAGAAAGCATATACATAATGGGGCCTATGCTACGTAACACGAAGTGGAGCTTGGTGCCCAGGATGTTAGAGACATAAATGTTCAAGCTAGATTCAGGACACAAAGTCTCCTCAAGATATGCAATACCCAAATTGGTTTTGCAAACTTTCTATTTTGCTTTCAGTGTGCCAACCTAGCTTTTAATTTGCTTTTATTTTATGAGGTCTAATTATAGTAACAAAAATGCTTGCTTTTGATTCTCATGAGAATTTCAAATAGTAAAATGGGATTTTGGAAATCTGCAAGAAGCACAAATTTATTTTACTAGGCTGTTATAACCAAATATAGTGATAGTCACTTTTATTTTTATCCATCCATTCATTCATTTATTCAAGAGGCAGAGAGAGAGGGAGGGAGAGAGAGTCAGACAGAGCTCCCATCTGTCGGTTCATTCCTCAAATGCCAGCAATGGCCCTGGGTTGGAGGCTGACGCCAGGAACTCAATCCAGGTGTCCCATGTGAGTGGCAAGGGTCCAACTTTTTGAGCCATTTCTTGTTGTTTCTCAGGCTGTGTATCAGTAGGAAGCTGGAATTGGGAATAGAGTGGGGACAAGAACAAAGACACTCTGATATGGGATGTAGCCATCCTGTCACCTTCACTGCTAGACCACAATGCTAACTCACAAATATAATAATATTTAAGAAAAAAAATCTATTCTTGTCTATAATTTCCCTGAACTGTGAACTCATCCTAGAGTATGAATTTCTTTACAAATTGCTATTATTAGAATATGACCTCAAACATTTAATTTTTCATTTCCTAATATGAGGAAATTAACTTTAAAAATTAATGCATGAAGAACATTTAACGTATGCCTTGAATGCCATATAAAATCCAAAAATATCCTAACCTGGGCAGGTGCTGTGGTATAGCAGGTTAGGCAGCTGCTTGGAACATCCACATCTCATTCTGGTTCGAGTCCTGGCTATTCCACACTTCCTATACAGCTTCCTGCTAATGTGCCTAGATAATGGCTCAACTATTTGGGTTCCTGCCACCCATCTGGGAGACCCAAATGGGATTCCTGGCTTCTGACTTTGGCCTGGCCTTGCCATGCCTTTTGTAGGCATTTGGGGGAGTTAACCAGAAGACAGATTCTCTCTCTCTCTCTTTCTCTGTCACTCTGCCTTTCAAATCAACACAGACAAATCTTAATAAACAAATAAATAAATCTAACCTGTTTGAAAATAAACCAAGTTTCAAAATTTCATCTGTCACATCTTCAATGAAACTCAGATACAACAATTCTTCCTCACTGCAAAGGCAAGGCAACACACAGCATAAAAACTATTGCTTATTATGAAAGCTGTAGGACCACACAAATATCTATTTAGAAATACAAATCTCTATTATTACAAATGTACTTCTATCTTGTATTATTAAGGGTAATATCAGCCTTCTCAACTTGTACAAGGATACTTACTACAAATGAGAAAATATTACCTAATAGTGTAAAATTTCATAGTTGCCTGTGACATCCTTAGTAGTAAAAATTAGCTGAATTGAAGAAAACAAAAAAGAGCAACCAAGGGCAAGAAGGCAATCCAATGCAATCCACTGGGAAGAAGGGCTCCTGAAGAGCACCTTCCCTCTCCTCTGGCTCCTGACAGAGCAGCTGAGACCCTCGCAAAGCACTCGCAGGGGAGGAGGAGGGGCGTCGTCTAGTGACTCACAGCTTTGCGATGAAGTCCTCCCCTGCTTTTAGAACAGCATCTTGTTTTAAGGTTCAGAAATTTACTGAGTAGAAAGCAATTTTTTCCCTCTAAATACTTGGAGGGGAGGGAAAAAATTCTAATAAGAAAATTAATGAAAATACAGTTGCAATTTTTAATACTTAGACATGCTACCATTTTGAGATAATTTTTAGTAGCTAAAGAAAATTAGGATACAACTGTAAATTTGATTTTAATTAGCTGAAATGGGTGAATTAATAGAAAATGAAAATAGTAACTACTCAATTACTGAATAAGCAAATAAAAGGGAGATGAGTTAATAAGTCAGAGAAAAGAATAAAATGTGTAAGAAGCTATACTTTCAAACTGAGTCATACAGTCTTGCTTAAAAGTAGCAAATCTGGGAATAAATAAACTCTACAAAATAGATTATTTTCCCTGAAAAAAAATAAAACAATTCAACATTTTAATCTACAGGTATAATAGCTGTAAAAAACTGGTAAGGTTAGAAAACTCTAGAAAGAGTATCCTGAGTTATGAAAAGTCTGCATTTCTCTAAAGCTCTTACTTTTACCTATAAAACAAGAATTATGAGTACTAATTATTAAAAAAGTAGATAATTATTCCAGAAAATTCTGATCATTTTTCCAGATTCAGCATGTATTACAGGATTAATACCTCAAAGCTGGTTGTAAAAGACCAATATTCAGTACTGACTTATTTAATACTGGTTTCTGTAATTCTTAATTTCTTATTCCCACACAACAAAATGAAGGTCAAAAGATCTTACTCAGTAGATTTTACTCTTTAAAAGAAGGCTGCAAGTAATATTGACATAATAGTCCTAGAAAGGGAATGTTAAAATATTTAAGCAAAAAAAAAAAGAGCAAAAATAACAGTAAGTGTTCAGTAATATTATATTCCATTAATATGTTTCAGAATTTTAAGGCACTTTTATATCCATGATCTAATTTAATCTAAACAAATACAATAGGTAGTATCTTCCCATTTACTAATCAGTTTAACCAGGGTCAAAGAGGAAAATAACTTGCCAAAGTTACTGTTAGTAAGTAGCAAAGGTTGATTTTTAAATTAGTCTTCTAGTTACAATTTCACAATCCTTTTCTGTACCATGGCACTTTCCTAGTATAGTGACAATCTGACTAAGACTGACATAAAAATAAAGCTGGAAACATATTTTTCCTATGGAAATTTTTCTTAAGCTGTCATTAGATAAATTTGGTCATTAGTTCAGTTATGTCACCATCAAGTACTGCTACATTTTTTCTCCAAATGTACTCAATGATAATATTTTACTTTACTTCTAGATAGAAACTACTAGAAAAGATAAATACTCCTTTCTTTGGGTTTTTTTTTTTTTATATGCAACACAATCTTGTTTAAGAGGAGCACATCAATACTAGTTACAGGTGCTAAATAAATACCATGGATTTTTTTTTTTTTTAATTTTTTGACAGGTAGAATGGACGGTGAGAGAGAGACAGTGAGAAAGGTCTTCCTTTGCCGTTGGTTCACCCTCCAGTGGCCGCCGCAGCCGGCGCACTGCAGCCGGTGCACCGCGCTGATCCGATGGCAGGAGCCAGGTACTTATCCTGGTCTCCCATGCGGGTGCAGGGCCCAAGCACTTGGGCCATCCTCCACTGCACTCCCGGGCCACAGCAGAGAGCTGGCCTGGAAGAGGGGCAACCAGGACAGAATCCGGCGCCCCGACCGGGACTAGAACCCGGTGTGCTGGCGCCGCAAGGTGGAGGATTAGCCTAGTGAGCTGCGGCGCCGGCCAATACCATGGATTTTTTAAAAAATTAATTTATTTAAAGTCAGAGTTACAGTGAGAGAAGCGGCGGGGGGTGGGATGGGGTGGGGGAGAAAGAGATCTTTCATCTGATGGTTCACTCCCCAAAGGCTGCAACAGCTGGGGCTGGGCCGATTTGAAGCCAGGAGTTTCTTCCAGGTCTCCCACATGGGTGTAGGGGCCTAAGTACTTGGGCCATCTTCTGCTGCTTTGCCAGGCACATTAATAGGAAGCTGGATCAGAAGTGTAGCAGCAGGGACTTGAACCGGTGCCCATATGGGATGCCAGCACTGCAGGTGGCAGCTTTACCTGCTATGCCATAGCGCTGGCCCAAACACCATGGATTTCAAGGACAGGGAGGTTAACAGTGATCTCCCTAGCAAATGAGGGTACTGAATATACTTTCCTTCTCTTTTGGTACAGAACAGCTCATTCTTGCCCTTTTTATTCTTTCTTCTATCTCCTTCATCTCACATCTAGTCTCTACCACTGGAAATGCATTTGGATAGCTAAAACTACTAAAGGCAACTTTTGGTGCTCTACCAACTGCTAGCCTATCATTCTTGCTTAGGCACAGTATTCTATAATTATGAAACAGGAATAATTTTTTTCAGAGTGCCTCCATATAGCATGGGGTAGATAAAGCACTAGCATAGGGCAAATATTCAAAATTACAAATAGTAAGGTTCTTTGGTACTATTAGAGCCATATAAACTTGTTAACACTGCCAGAGGACTTGTCCTGGGTAAAATCCTTTTTCTATCAATAGTGATGACAAATAAAGCAAGCCAGTATGACTTTTTCCTTTATTAATAAATTAGAAAATTTCTTTAAAACTACACCGAGCAACCTAACTTTGTAAAATTTTCTTAGTAAAACTAATACTGCCATTGCAATGTGTAAGCCAAAATAGATTAGAGCAGGTATTAGAAATTGTACTTATGCTGCAAATCCCACTTGTCTGGTACACAGGAAAGACTGTAACCTGCCTACCTGGGTGAGGAATGCTGGACAGCATCACCTTTCATCACATCCCACGTTCTGCCAGGCCCTTTTAGAGGCACAGGACTTTTTTCCCGTGTGGTATCACATGTCAAACAACTAGATGCCTGGAATTTATAATAAAAGGGAAAAAAATCTTTATATTGCTTAAAAAAGTACATTATGAAAGTAGAAATAAAACAAATATAGCAAAATTCAAGAAGAGTGAATAGAAACATGCAGTAGATAAAAGTGATTGACACAACAGAACATTTTAGAGTAATGTTTATCTAATCAGCACTTTTTTCTTAAACTTATTTAAAGATAAAGCAACATATTTCTTGGACTTTAATGAACAACATCTTAAACACATTATAAATAAACACATCAAAAGAAAATGAAACAAATTTGCAAGTTTTAAGTAAGTTTGGGGAAAAAATTCCCATCATTCAGAAATTCAAATAGCCCATGTCTCTCTATTTTTAAACAATTTATTTGAGAAGTAGAGTTATAGACATAGAGAGGGAGAGACAGAAAGAAAGGTCTTCCATCTGCTGGCTTGCTCCCCAGATGGCCACATTTGGGCCAATCTGAAGCCAGGAGCTTCCTCCAGGTCTCCCTAATGGGTGCAGGGCCCCAAGTACCTGGGACACCCGGGCCATAAGCATAGAGCTGGATTGGAAGAGGAGTAGCTGGAACATGAACTGGTATCCACATGGGATGCTGGCGCCGTAGGCAGAGGCTTAGCTTACTATGCCATGGTGCCAACCCCTTTGCCCATGTCTTTTATTTTTTGGACAGAATAAATATTCACTTTAATTTTCCACCTATGAAAATTTCACAATAAAATTATAGTTTACTTTGTATTATTATAGATGTGCTTACTGGATCTATTCATCATTATATAAGGCAACTGACAAAATTCCTGAAGTTAATTATTTGGGTGAAGGATTTTTTTAACACTTCAAAAAGTTTGGTTTTATGCTTTAACTAATACAGTATATAAAGGGGGAAGGATCAGAAACGTTTAAAGAGTAGCTAAACGTTACAAATGTTAAACCATGTGATGCCAGCACTTCAGCTTTATACAGCAAAAGTTGTTTGAACCAACAGCTTACTAGTGAGTTAGCAGAACACACCCATGAATTTAAGATGTGAACACATTTACAGTTTGGGAAATTCTAGTACTGGTTCCCCTGTGACATTCAAGCTTAGGACTTAACAAAACCGTTCAGCATGCTTCACTATCTGCTTTTATAAATGCAGTATTGACAAGAATTCCCATTTCTACTTCCATTTTCAAGTACAAACATTTCAAGAAATTTAATAATCTGTTTACAGCCCATGTCTTTTAAATGCTGACATGTTAAATATGTAGAAGCAGTGATAGCACTGGCAGCATGAACAATATTAGCAGCTTACTATTTAAAAAATTATTTACTTAATTTATTTGAAAGGCAGAGAAACAGAGAGGCAGATTAGATCAATAATCTCATTTGCTGATTCTCTAACCAAATGCCTGCAAAAGTTGGGGTTGGGCCTGGTCAAAGCTGGGAGTCAGGAACTCAATACAGGTTTCTGTTGTGACTAGCTGGAACACATTTACTTGAGCCATCACCATGGCTTCCCAGGTTGCACATTAGTAAGAAGCTGGAGTCAAGAGCTGGAGCCAGGAATTGAACCCAGGTACTCTGATGTGGGAAACAGGCATCCTAACTGGCATCTTAATCATTAGACCAAATGCCTTCCCCTGGGCAAAACTTTTTTTAAAAAATTTTTTATTTATTTTATTTTATTTTTTTGACAGGCAGAGTGGACAGTGAGAGAGAGACAGAGAGAAAGGTCTTCCTTTACCATTGGTTCACCCTCCAATGGCTGCTGCGGCGGCGGCGCGCTGTGGCCAGCGCACTGCGCTGATCTGAAGCCAGGAGCCAGGTGCTTCTCCTGGTCTCCCATGGGGTGCAGGGCCCAAGGACTTGGGCCATCCTCCACTGCACTCCCGGGCCACAGCAGAGAGCTGGCCTGGAAGAGGAACAACCGGGACAGAATCCAGCGCCCCAACTGGGACTAGAACCCGGTGTGCCAGTGCCGCAGGCAGAGGATTAACCTATTGAGCCGCGGTGCCGGCCGGCAAACCATTTTTATAAGCAATAAATTTAAGTTAGGATACAAGTACATAACTGATATTCCAAAAAATAAAAATGAGTCTGTCTCAAATCCAGACTTAAAACTGTAATATTTTAAAATCAATGATTGCTAAGCATTCAAAATATAAACAGCTTTGTGGCTAAAAAAGCAAAGTCCAAACATGAGTATGGTATCCACCAATTCTAGTAAAATGCATAATCTTTTTTTTGGTAAAATGTGTAATTTTAATAACCAGTAGCAATTCTTTAAAAAAATCATAAAAACTTAAGTAACATCTTTGCTAGCTTTAGTAATTTAAGAATGCATCTTTGAAAACAATAATTAAGGCATTTTATTTATCCAACCATTTGTCTAGCCAGCCAATCATCCAGCAAAGACAATGATAACAAATGACTGATAGATTTGGCAGGATTTCAGGGACTGCTATGACCATTGTAAAAAGGAAAGCCTTGTGTATAGCAGGGTGTCACATGCAGTAAGTGTCACCAAGAGATTATCCTTCATAGTCCAAATAGCTGTACATATTCTACTTATGTTAAAGTAATTCCAATGTGACAACACAAAAAGATCTCAATTACCTGCTGTATGTTTCCTTCTGAATTTGTCAAGTTCTTAGTCTTAGCTGTCTCAAAACCAGAATGAAAGCTGTAACATTTTAAAAGAAGCAATTATTATTCTTCAAAATATAAAGCAGTAACAACTCTACTCTATAGAAAAGACTTGAACATAACAGAATGAGCACATCTATTCTCAAAAAATGTGTAATTTCTAATTATGTAGCCAAGAAAGAGATATTGTTTAGATTACATATGCTGCTTTTTCCTTTCTTGATTAGCAGCTAGATTTCAGTTACAAACTATAGAAACAACATGGGATTACCTTTAAAACATTCATAAATAAAATTATAAAAGGATATGCTATAATTGCTTTCCTCATTTCTCCCTCATTTGTCAAGTTCTATCATAGACTCAATTCCTGAATTATTCAATTGAATACACACAGACTCATCTAATAATACTATACATATATATATATATCCAAAGAAAGGAATATTAGTTTTAAATTGTTCTTGATTTTATAAAATAACTATAAACCAGCACCAGTTAAATTTATGTAACACTAGAAAAATAATTGCAAATCAGCTAACCCTGAATACATTATTTGTTTCTTTAATCATCTGGCATACTGAATATTCATCATGTACCAGATACTAGAGTATGTGAAACATTCCTGAAGCAACTATAAATAATTTCAAAAAATTATCCCAATTGCCTAAATTATTCCCAGGCAGTTACTGCCATAAAACACTGGCCTGAATATCTGCAGGGAAGGGAACATGGAGTAGTTGGAGAAAGGGTGATTACCCCCTCCTACCCTGTAAGGCTCACTCTGTCACGTATACATGAATCAATATACATATTTGCACAAATGTTTCAAATTCTCTGAAGGTATATTTAAAAGCATGTAAATGATTTTCTGAACAATTAGTCTGATAGTTCTAATGACATATGGAAAAAGAAAAGTTACATGTATATCATTCCAATGGGCCGGTGCTGTGCTGTGTTGTAGTGAGTAAAGCTGCCACCTGTAGTGCTGGCATCCCATGTGGGCACCAGTTCGAGCGCCGGCTGTTCCACTTCAGATCCTGCTTTCTGCTATGGCCTGGGAAAGCAGTAGAAGATGGCCCAAGTCCTTGGGCTCCTGCACCCGTGTGGGAGACCGGAGGAAACTTCTGGCTTTGGACTGGCACAGCTCTGGCTATTGTGGCCATTTGGGGAGTGAACCAGTGGATGGAAGATTCTCTATCTCTCTGCCTCTATCTCTCTGTAAGTCTGCCTTTCAAATAAATAAATAAATCTTAAACAAAAAAAATAGCTAACAAATCTTAAGTCTGGCGCACGAAGTCTACAACAGAAAACAAGGAGTATTACTTCTCTTCATTTAATTCCCTAAAGGATTTACCCTTGGTTGTTGTTGATGTGCCATACCTGCTAAACTCAGTCTGGGTTTCAGCTTCTACCTGTTGATCTGTAAAATCCTTTCTTCTTCTGGCAGGCATATAGTATCGATACTGCGACAGGAAAGATTTTGCTTCTGTTTTTAAAGTGCGTGGAGTGAATGGTAACTGCTTGTTAGAAAAGAGTTCAGAATGTTTATCCAAAAGATCCCCACTAGGTGCTTTTGAAATGACTAACTGAAACCGGTGGGAGTTTGCAAATGAGCTCCTGGGCCTTCTGCCGTGTAAGGGTCCAGAACAGGACTTGCGGGGCCCGGAGGCTGCGTAGTCCATGCAGGACAGGGCGGACCTGCAGTTCTTCTCACTGCCACTTGCGAGGTCATTGTCAGACTTAGGTAGACTCAGGTGTAGTCCCTCTGTAGAAGATACTAGTGACTTTGCCAACGACGAAAATCCATTCACTTTTTCTATAAACACATCTTTTTGTGGTTCCCCTGAAGGCTAAGAACATTTGATTTGATAGTTACCAACTGTATTACAAATTCATGTAACTGGAGAGCTTCAGATTATATGTTAAAAAATGGTGTCTCAGGGGTTTACAATATTAACATATATTCCTGAACATGTTAGCATTTTATTCAAAGTTTTACTCAAATATTTAAATTATAACATTAAAATAGAATTTTAAATGTAAGTGAATAGCAATCATCTTCATTTCTGAAACAAAAAATGATTATTAACATATATCTATATTTGAGGCCTTAAACTTGTATAATAAGATATATGAGTAGGGGGCTACCACTGTGACACAGTAGGTTAGTCCTCTGCCTGCGGCGCTGGCATCCCATATGGGCACCAGTTCTAGCCTTGGCTGTTTCTCTTCCAATCCAGCTCTCTGCTATGGCCTGGGAAAGCAGTAGAAGATGGCCCAAGTCTTTGGGCTCCAGCAACTGTGTGGGAGACCTGGAAGAGGTGGCGCCTGGCTTCAGATTGGCTCAGTTCCAGCCATCGCGGCCATTTGGGAAGTGAACCAATGGATGGAAGACCTTTCTCTCTGTCTTTCCTTCTTTTCTAGCTTTCAAATAAATAAATAAAATCTTTAAAAAAAAGTATATCTCAGTTTTACCTAAAATTTTCCATACAGATTTTGAGCAACAATGTCTTTCTTGCCTGTTATTTCAACCTATTTGGACACTTGTATATTGTTCACAAAACTATGATATAGGGGCTGGCGCTGTGGCACAGTAGATTATAGTCCCAGTCTGCAGCACTGGCATCCCATATGGGCGCTGGTTCGAGTTCCAGCTGCTTCACTTCCGATTCCGCTCTCTGCCTGGGAACACAGTAGAAGATGGGCCAAGTCCTTGGGCCCCTGCACCCACTTGGGAGACCCAGAACAAACTCCTGGTTCTTGGCTTTGGATCGGTCCAGCTCCAGCCACTGCAGCCATTTGGGGAGTGAACCAGTGGATGGAAGATCTCTCCCTCTCCCTCTTTATCTCTGTAACCCTGTCTTTGAAATAAATACATAAATCAAAAACAATTAAAAATTAAAAAAAAAAGAACTATGAGGCACTTTTATTAGGCAGAGTCTGAGAAGTTACAGAACTTGAGGTAGGGGCTGGCGCCGTGGCTCAGTGCATTAACGCCCTGGCCTGAAGCACTGGCATCCCATATGGGTGCCAGTTCTAGTCCCAGCTGCTCCTCTTCCGATCCAGCTCTCTGCTATGGCCTGAGAAAGCAGTGGAAGATGGCCCAAGTCCTTGGGCCCCTGCACCCACGAGGGAGACCTGGAAGAAGCTCCTGGCTTCGGATTGGCACAGCTCCAGCTGTTGCGCCATCTGGGGAGTGAAATCAGTGGATGGAAGACCTCTCTTTCTCTCTGTCTCTACCTCTCTCTCTAACTTTGTCTTTCAAATAAATAAAATACATCTTTAAAAAAAAAGAAATTGAGGTGAAAATATTTAGGGTTTAGCCAAGTATGTGTGACCTACAAGCTCATGAGAAAAAAAACAAGGATGATGAACAAGCTGAGCAAAAGAAAATCTGAATGCTTCCTGCAAGGTGTCTGGCGCGTAACAAATCTTCCCAGGCACACGAATCACTGCGGGAGGCAGCTTTACCTGCTATGCAACAGCACCGGCCCCCTACGCATCTCTTAACTGTATTCCTTGTGCTCAATTATTGTCTTAAAACATGTCGTTCTACTGTCCCAGATTACTACAATCAACTCAAAATTAATCTGTCCACTGCCAGTGTAATTTATGTAAAGTTTCAGAATGATGACATAATTTCCCAAGTAAAAACTTGAGCTCCCTCACATTTCTCAAGGGAAAAAATCTAGATCCACTATTGTGGCACAAATGTTCTTCCTTGGTATTTCCTCCTGTCTATTAATATGAGAGTTTCACTTGCAAAGGAAAGAGCTAGAGTAAAAAATACAGTATTTAGTACTTGGTTAGCAATGCACTCAACGTGACTGTAGCCAAACAGGCAATAGTTTTTACTATATAATAGGTGTTAAGGGCAGAAAACAAAGCTCTTTAAGGCTTGATCTGGGAAAATCTAACAGAACATGCTTGAGAATATGAGATCTTCTCAAGGGCTATTACCTAACTAGATGATTTGTCACGCAACTTGCCCATCTTGAACTTTGGCACTGAGTGGAAGTGGACTGTTGGGATTTGAGAAGCTGAAATGATGGCCAGCACGGTGGCACAGCAGGTTAATCCCCCGCAACTCCAACATCCCACATCAGAGGGGTGGTTCAAGTCCCGGCTGCTCCACTTCTGATGCAGCTCTCTGCTACTGTACTAGGGAAGGCAGCAGAGGACGGCTCAAGTGACCCCTGTCACACATGGGTCTTCCAGGCTTCTGACTTTGGCCTGGGTTGTGGCCATTTCGGGGGTAAACCAGCAGATAAATCTCTTATCACTCTCTGACTCCTTTCAGATAATAAAATAAATTTTTTTAAAGATTTATTTATTTGAAAGTTACAGAGAGAGGTAGAGCAAGAAAGAGAGGTCTTCCATCCACTGATTCACTCCCCAAATAACCGCAATGGCCAGAGCTGAGCTGATCCAAAGCCAGGAGCCAGGAGCTTCTTCCGGGTCTCCCACGTGGGTACAGGAGCCCAAGGACTTGGGCCATCCTCTACTCTTTTCCCAGGCCATAGCAGAGAGCTGGATCAGAAGTAGAGCAGCTGGAACTCAAACCAGCACTTTTATGGGATGCCAGCACTGCAGGCCGGGACTTTAACCTGCTGTGCCACAGTGCTGTCCCCATAAAATAAATTTTAAAGAAAAAAAAAGGGTGGAATCTGAAATGATGTTCCCAGGTAAGTTTGCAAGCTAAATTTGTATTACCTAGTCTACAAAAATCTTTTTATTGTTTTGTTTTTTTTTTTTATTTTTTTTTTTTATTTTTTGACAGGCAGAGTGGACAGTGAGAGAGAGACAGAGACAGAGAGAAAGGTCTTCCTTTTTGCCGTTGGTTCACCCTCCAATGGCACGCTGTGGCCAGCGCACCGCGCTGATCCGATGGCAGGAGCTGGGTACTTATCCTGGTCTCCCATGCGGGTGCAGGGCCCAAGCACTTGGGCCATCCTCCACTGCACTCCCTGGCCACAGCAGAGAGCTGGCCTGGAAGAGGGGCAACCGGGACAGAATCCGGCACCCTGACCGGGACTAGAACCCGGTGTGCTGGTGCTGCAAGGCGGAGGATTAGCCTAGTGAGCCATGGCGCCGGACTACAAAAATCTTAAGCCAAGACAAATGACTTAGTTTTCTTCCAATACATAAATTACAGGGGGATAAAAAAGCAGAAGAGAGGAAAAGTTATAGATATGAAGAAACTTAGAAATTAATTGAAATTATTTAGATCACACTTCTAACAAACTCAACAAAATTATGAGATAATGGGCGAAATCTGAACACTGGATATTAATCAATCTAAGATTATTGATAATTTTAAGGCATAATAATTAATATTGCATTTTTTTAAATTAGATTTTTTTAAAGGTAAAGGGATAGCGAGATCTTCTGTCTACTGGTTCACTTCCCAAATGGTCACATCACTGGGGCTGGTCCAGGCTGAAGCCAGCAGTCTGGAATTACATTTTTTTTTTTTTTGACAGTAGAGTTATAGACAGTGAAAGAAAGAGACAGAGAGAAAGGTCTTCCTTCCATTGGTTCACCCCTAAAATGGCCGCTATAGCTGGCGCTGCACCGATCTGAAGCCAGAAGCCAGGTGCTTCTTCCTGGTCTCCCATCTGGGTGCAGGGACCAAGCACTTGGGCCATCCTCCACTGCCCTCCTGGGCCACAGCAGAGAGCTGGACTGGAAGAGGAGCAGCGGGACTAGAATCTGGTGCCCATATGGGATGCCAGGGCCACAGGCGGAGGATTAGCCAAGTGAGCCATGGCGCCGGCCCTGGAATTACATCTAAGTCTCCCACATGGGTGGTAGAGGCTCAAGCGCTTGGGCCATTATTGTTGCTCTCTCAAGTACAATAGCAGGCAGCTGGGTCAGACACAGAGCAACTGGGAGTCGAACCAGTGTAGCAATATGGAATGCTGGCATCGCAAGTAGTGGCTTAACATGCTGTGCCACAACGCTGGCCCCCCATATTGTGGTTATTAAAGTTTTCATTTATTTGAAAGGCAGAGAGATGGAGAGAAAGAGACAGCAAGAGAGCTCCTCCATCCTCTAGTTCATTTCTCAAGGGCTGAGCCAGGCCAAAGCCATGAACCCAGAACTCCATTCCCATCTCCCACATTGGTGGCAGGGATCCAACTAACTCAGCCGCCACCTGCTGCTTCTCTGGGCATGCACGGTGGTATGCCAGAATCGGAAGCAGAGCTGGGACTCAAACCCAGGCACTCTGATATGGAATGTGGTCCAAGCTGAGTCTTACTGCTGTGCCAAATGCCGACCCTTACGATGCATACTGACATTTATGAACAAAATTATACTGTAGTATCTGGAATTTTTTAAAAAATTTATTGGACAGGTAGAGTTACAGATAGTGAGTGAGTGAGAGAGAGACAGAGAAAGGTTTTCCTTTTGTTGGTTCACTCCCCAAGTGGCTGCAATGGCCAGAGCTGCAACGATCCGAAGCCAGGATCCAGGTGCTTCCTCCTAGTCTCCCATGGGGTGCAGGGGCCCAAGCACTTGGGCCATCCTCCACTGCCCTCCCAGGCCACAGCAGAGAGCTGGACTGGAAGAGGAGCAACCGGGACTAGAACCAGCACTCATATGGGATGCCGGACCCGCAGGCGGAGGATTAACCTAGTGCGCCACGGCACCAGCCCCAGTGTCTGGAATTCTTATCAAAATAATCTTGGATGGGAGAGTGAAGATTAAGAACAAATAAGACTGTCCACTATTGCACCTGGGTGTTCAGAACATGCAGGTTCATTATATAATTGTATTTTTGTAGATGTTGTAGTTTTCAAAATTTTATTTAAAAAATTTTTTTAAAGATTTATTTATTTATTTGAAAGTTGGAGTCACACAGAGAGAGAAGAGAGGCAGAGAGAGAGGTCTTCCATCCGCTGGTTCACTCCCCAGTTGGCTGTAATAGCTGGAGCTATGCCAATCCGAAGCCAGGAGCCAGGAGCTTCCTCTGGGTCTTCCATGAGGGTGCAGGGGCCCAAGGACTTGGGCCATCTTCCACTGCTTTCCCAGTCCACAGCAGAGAGCTGGACTGGAAGTGGAGTAGCCGGGACTTGAACCGGTGCCCATATGGGATGCCGGCACTGCAGGTGGTGGCTTTACCCGCTATGCCACAGCGCTGGCCCCCAAAATTAAAAATTTTAACATTGATTTCCATCAAATCCAAGGAACAAAGAATTCTATATTTACATAAAATAGTTTAGAATACAAAAAGAGGAAACAGTTTAATTTTTTTATGACATTAGCACAACCAGATATAGAGAGTAGAAAAAAAAATGACATGCCAGTGTCAATCACATTTAGGTGTCAAAATCCTAAACAAAATATTAGCAACTGAATCCAGCAATGTGTAGAAAAGGTAAATGCCGGGGCTGGCACTGTGCTGTTGGAGGCTAAGCCTCCGCCTGCGGCACTAGTATCCTATGTGGGAGCTGGTTTGTGTCCTGGTTGTTCCTCTTCCAATCCAGTTCTCTCCTTATGGCCTGGGAAAGCAGTGGAAGATGGCCCAAGTGCTTGGATCCCTGCACCCACATGGGAGACCCGGAGGAAGCTCCTGGCTCTGGATTTGCCTAGCACCGGCCGTTGCAGCCATCTGGAGAGTAAGTCAGTGGATGGAAGACCTCTCTGTCTCTGCCTCTGTCTGTGACTCTGCCCTTCAAATAAATAAATAAAATCTTAAGAAAAAAGAAAAGGTAAATGCATCATGACCACGTTCTGCTTATACCAGGGATGCTTAGTTCGTTTAACATTAGAAAGTGTTATAATTCACTGCATTAACAGATTACATATAGTGTATGAATATTCAAAGAGATAAAAAAGTATCAAATAAAATTAACATTCACTCATGAGAAAGCAAAAAAAAAAAATCTATTCGTAAATCAAATCTATTTCACTAAATGTTAGAGGGTATCAGAAAAAAATCTATAGCCAGAGCCAGCAAACTACAGTGTGCAGGCCAAATCTGGTCCATTGTCTTTGTTCAGTTAGTAAAGCTGTGGTGGAACACAGCCATGCTTATTCATTGACTTGCTGTTTATGGCTGCTTTCCAATGGTAGAACAGTTTTAACAGATTATATGGCCTGAAAATCTAAAATACTAAGTATCTGGATCTTTATAGGAAAAGTTTACTGATTCTAACCTACAGTAAGCATGTTACCACAAAATCAAGTTGCAATACTAAAGAAGTACCTTAGAAATATTTGCTTTTAAAAAAGTAAAAATATCACCTTACCTTTCGTATGGTATTAAGGAATGACTTGGAATTATTTTTAGAATTGGCCTGCATCGCCTTTTTAGTTAATTTGAATTCTTTTTCACATCTTGTTAAATCTTTTTTGAGTTTCTCTCTTCGTTGTTGGTCTGCATCTAAGGTGGAAAACAAATCTATTAAAATATGGAACAAAACAGAAAAACTAATTTGGTTTTGTTCAATAAGTAGAACATTTTTTCTTGCTAAAATATTTGTGCTATGATACAAAAATAAATATTTTATTTATAATAAAAGTAAAAATTTTACATATAATAAAAATTAAAGGTAAAAAATTAAAATCCACACATTTTTCTGTATAAAGAAATGCTAGGACAATTTAATTTATAGACTCTACATAGATTACCTACTTAAAAAGCACAAATGAAAGATGTGACAATCTGGCCAGATCCATGGGCTTAAGAAAGAATTCTGGGGGTGGGTGTTTGGTGCAGTGTGGTTCAGATGCCACTGGGATGTCCACATCCTATATTAGAATGCCTGGGTTTGAATCCCAGTTCTGCTTTCAATCCCAGCTTCCTGCCAATGTGCACCCTGGGAGGCAGCAGATGATGGCTCAGGTAGTTCTGGGCTCTGGGCTTTGGCCTGGCATAGTTGTGGCTGTTGCTAGCACTTGTGAGCCAGGGATCAAAGATCTCTATCCTTGTCTCTGTCTCTTTTTGAAATAAATAAAAAAATTTTTTTTAAAAATAAAGTAATTCCTAGCAAATATTCATAGACATGAAGGTTAGAAATGGTTAACCATATATATATTTTTTTATTTGACAGGCAGAGCTAGAGAGCGAGAGAGCAAGAGAGAGAGAGAGAGAGAGAAAGATCTTCCTTTCCATTGGTTCACCCCCCAAATGGCCACTACGGCTGGTGCACTGCGCCAATCCGAAGCCGGGAGCCAGGTGCTTCCTCCTGGTCTCCCATGTGGGTGCAGGGGCCCAAGCACTTGGGACATCCTCCTAAATGTAAAGCTAAAACTATAAAACCCTTAGACAAGCAAAATTAAAAACCTTTCCACTTTTTCAAAAGGCATACCTGTAAGAAAATAAAAAGTAACAGATGGGAGAAAACATGTGTAAATATGCATCTAATAAAGGACTTGTACCCATAATATAAAAATAACTTATAAATAAGACAAAAATTTAAAAACCATGCATATGAAAAAAATGCTCTACCATCATTAGTATAAAGAAGGCACAAATTAAAACCATGAGATACTTCAGTTTCACTAGAATTACTATTATCAAAAACAGAGTAGCAAAGACAAAGAGAAACTGAGATGCTAATACAGCCAGAAGTGGGAACGTGAAATGGTACTTGATATTCTCTAAAAAATAAAACATAACATAGCACTTGCCCCGTATCTGTGGGGAATATGTTACAATTCTCCCCCCGTCTCCCAACTGTATGCCTGACACCAATCATACATATAATGATTTTTTATTTACATACAAACTTGTGAAGTTTAAATTATAAACTAGGCACAGCAAGAGATTAGCAACCGTAACTATAATAAAACAGCACAATTATAACAGTATTCAGTAGTGTCCCCTCATCCATATTTCCATTTTCTGCAGTTTGAGTTAGTCAACCATAATTAGAACACATTAAATGGAAAATTCCAGAATTTACAAATTTTAAATTGGAACCAGTGTTGTGGTTCAGCGGGTTAAAGCCATGGCCTGCAGTGATGGCATCCCATCTGGGTGCCAGTTCGAGTCCTGGCTGCTCCACTTCCAATCCAGCTTCCTGCTAGTGTGCCTGGGAAAGCAGCAGAGGAGGACCCAAGTGTTTGGGCCCCTGTGCCCAAGTGGGAGACCTGGATAAAGCTTCTTGGCTCCTGGCTTCAGGCTGGCCCAGTTCTGGCTATATGACCATTAAGGGAAGAATCAGAGGATGAAAAAATCTCTCTCCCTCTCTCTGTAACTCTGCCTTTCAAATAAATAAATAAATATCTTTTAAAAAAGCTTTAAATTGTGTACATTGAGAAGCATGACAAAGTCTTTTATTATATTTTTATAATTATTTTGTATGTGTCTACATATTTACCTTTTCCAGTGAAGGTTTTGCTTTCACAGTGCCATTCAACATGTTTTGTTCCTAATATTCTTTTTAAAAAATATTTATTTATTTATTTATTTGAAAGGCAGAGTTAGAAGGGGGGGGGGAAGGAGGGGGAGGGAGAGGGAGGAGGAGGAGGGGTAAGAGGGAGAGAATCTTTCATCTACTAGTTCACTCCCAAAATGGTCAGAGCTTGGGCGATCTGAAGCCAGGAGCCAGGAGCTTCCTCCAGGTCTTCCATGTGGGTGCAGGGGCCCAAGGACTTGGGCCATTTTCTGCTTTCCCAGGCATTTTAGCAGGGAGCTGGATTGGAAGTGGAGCGACTGGTGCCTCTATGGGATGTCGTTGCCACAGGCCATGGCTTGAACCTGCTGAGTCACAGTGCCAGCCCCTACACCCAATCTTAAGGTAGGTCTAGTGGTGATAGACTCCTACAGTTTTTATTAGTTTGGGAAAGATTTCGTATGTCTTTCATTTTAAAGAATAGTTTTATAGGCCATGCTATTTTTGGTTGGCAGTTTTTCTTTTTCAAATACTTGGAAAATACTGTAGATGGCATTTAGCTGAGTGGTTGAAATGCCCATGTTACACATCAGAGTGTCTTGAGTTTGATTCTTGGCTCTGGCTCCTGACTGCAGCTTTTTGTCAATGTGGACCCTGGGAGTCAGCAGCGATGGTTCAAGTAATTGGGTTCCTGCTACCCATGTGGCATAGCCAGCTTCTGGTTCCAGCCCCACCTGGGCCAGGTCCTTGTGCGTATTGGTGAGTGAACCAACAGACTGGCGCTCTCTTTGTTTCCGTTGGCTGTTGCGGGCACCTGAGGAATAAACTAGTAGATGGAAGCTCTTTGTCTCTTTCCCTCTCAAATAACAAAAGGAAGGAAGGAAAGAAAAAGGAAAGCTCTCCTAGCTTCAAGAAATTAGCTAATAGTTTTATGAGGAGAATTCCCTTATATATGATGAGTTGCTTTTTCTACATTCAAAATTCCCTCTTTAAAATTTACTTTCATTTTGTATGAAAGGCAGAAAGGGTCGGGCAGGGGTGGAGAGACAGGTACACACACGCTTGAATACACTCACATACACACAGATAACTTCCTTCTGCTGGTTTACTCCCTAAATGCCCATAACAGTGTTTGGCCAGGCCAAAGCCAAGAGTTTGGAACTCAATCCAGCCTCCCACACAGGAGACAGGGACTCCATACCAGAGCCATCATCTGCTGCCTTTCAGCATGCATGTTAGCTGAAGCTGTACTGGAAGCAGAATAGCCAGGACTTGAACCAGGCACTCAGATATGGGACACAAGTATCCTAAATAGCCAACTTAACTACTGTGCCAAATGCTAGCAGTCCCTGTCTTAGACTTTTCACCTCTTCAGGTTTAAATCATTTGGGGTTATTTCAGCTTCTTGATTTTTTTAATTAATTAATTATTTTGATAGGCAGAGTTAGGGAGAGACAGAGAAAGATCTTCTATCTGCTGGTTCACTCCTCAAATTGCTGCAACAGCCAGGGCTGGGTCAGTCCTGGGGCCAGGAACTTCATCCAAGTCTCCCACATGGGTGGCAGGGACCCAGGTACTCAGGCCATCTTCTGCTGCATTCCCAGGAGTATTAGCAGGGAGCTGGATTGAAAGTGGAACAGCGAGGACACGAACCAGTGCCCATTTATGGTGCTGGCACTGCAGGTGGAGACTTAACTTGCTACGCCACAACGCCAGCCCTGGGCTTCCTGATTCTGGATGTCATTTTCCTTCCTCCGATGGTAAGTTTTTCATTATTAGTTCTTTAAATAAGATTTTGCTCCCTTTTTCCCTCTCTTCCTTCTAGAACTGTCACAATGTACAGGATTCACTAAGTGGTGTTCCATAAAGCCCATAGGCTTTCTCTATTCTTTTTCAATCTTTCTTCTCCTCTGCCTGGATAATTTCATGACCTGTCTTCAAGCTCACTGATTCTTCTGCTTGGAAAGTGTTTTAGTATTCTCCAGATTTTCATATATAAGATAAGTGAAATCCAGAAGTGAAAATACTTTTTCCAAAGTCACAGAGCAATCATATAGCAATTCAAAGGTAAAGCTTAAGCTTAGTTCTAAGTTTCTAAACTTAGAAACACAATACAAACTTCTTTTATTTATCTGTAATTTTAAAATGTTAGAAACACTTTCTCAAAAGTCAGTATGTTAAGACCTTTTAGGATGGCTACCATAAAAAAAAAAAAACAGGAAAAAACAAGTTTTGGAGAGGATGCAGGAAAACTGTAATTCTCATGCATTAATATGAATGTTACATGGCATAGCTACTAAGGGAAATATTGTGATGGTTTCTCAAAAATTAAATCAGAAATTATCACATGACCCAGATTTTCTGCTTCTGGGTACATATACCAAATATCTGAAAGCAGGGTCTTGAAGACATATTTGTATATTCATGCCCATGGCAGCACTATTCACAGCAGCCAAACACAGATGACCCTTGAGAACATTATGCCAGTCATAAAAGAACAAATACTATATAGTTCCATTTATTTGAGGTATGTGAACTAGTAAAACAAAGTAGAAAGGTGAGAAGGGTCAAACTCCCAAAAATAGGAAGTAGAACAATGGTTTGCAGGGCCTGGGGGAAGGCAGTTACTGTTTAATGGACACAGAATTTCATTTTCACAAGATGAAGACAGTGCTGAAGGTAGATGATGGTGATGGCTATACTGTAATACTTAACGACACTGAACACTTTAAAATGGCTAAAAGGCAAGTTTTATGCTATGTATATTTTACCATAATTTTTAAAAGGCAATATGTCAAAAAATTACTTACATTTGATGCTTGCAGTCATGCTTACTGGAATTGAGCAGTCTACCGCAGCTGAAAGAGACAAATTAGCTGTTCAGAAATATTCTTTTTATAAATCACAACAAATACCAATTAGTGAAATCATAAAGGTCTCAGAATTCGAATTCCCTTGTTTTGACTTTTACTGTATTTTTAGAGATTAAAAAACACAATATCCAGGAGCCAGCATTGGGGTGAACAGGTTAAGCTGTTGCCTGTGGTGCTGGCATCTCACATGGGCACCTGTTCATGGGGTCCTGGCTGCTTCACTTCTGAGTCAGCTCCCTGCTAGCCTTGGATAACGCTCCTGGTTTTGGCTCGGCCCACCCGGGCCACTGAGGCCCTTTGGAGAGTGAACCAGTAGACAGAAGATCTCTCAGTCTTTCCTTCTCCAACTTTCCCTTTCAAATAAATAAATATTTTTAAATATTCATGATAAAAATATATTGGTTATGGCTGGCGCCACGGCTCAATAGGCTAATCCTCTGCCTGCGGCACCAGCACACCGGGTTCTAGTCCTAGTCGGGGTGCCGGATTCTGTCCCAGTTGCCCCTCTTCCAGTCCAGCTCTCTGCTGGCCCGGGAGTGCAGTGGAGGATGGCCCAAGTGCTTGGGCCCTGCACCTGCATGGGAGACCAGGAGAAGTACCTGGCTCCTGCCATTGGATCAGCGCGGTGCGCCAGCCGCAGCAGCCACTGGAGGGTGAACCAACAGCAAAGGAAGACCTTTCTCTCTCTCTCTCTCACTGTCCACTCTGCCTGTCAAAAAAAAAAAAAAAAAAAAATCAATTTCCTGGTTTTGATAACTGTACAATGGTTTATATGTGTATTATTTCTGAATTTCCAGTAAGTCTAAAAATTACCCCAGAATAAAAATTTTAAAAGAAAATGAAAAGACCAGTCACAGACTGGAAAAAATACTGCAAAACTGTGGTGCAGCGGGTTAACACCCTGGCCTGAAGGGCCGTCATCCCAAATGGGCGCCAGCTAATCCACTTCCTATCCAGCTCTCTGCTATGGCCTGGGAAAGCAGTAGAAGATGGACCAAGTCCTTGGGCCACTGTACCCGCATGGGAGACCCAGAAGAAGCTCCTGGCTCCTGGCTTCAGATCGGCACAGCTCCGGCCGTTGTGGCCAACTGGGGAGTGAACCAGTGGATGGAAGACCTCTCTCTCTCTGCCTCTCCTCTCTCTGTGTAACTCAAATAAATAAATAAATAAATCTTTAAACGAAAATACTGCAAAAAGTATACCTGATACAGAACTTGTATTTAATATATAAATAACCCAAAATTTATTACTAAGGAGATAAAACCACCTGTTTTTAACTGCACAAAAGATTTGAATACGCATTTCATCAAAGAAGATATACAGATGTCAAATAAGAATGAGAAAAGCTGCTTAACATTATTAGCTATCAGGGAAATGCAAACTAAAACTATGAAGAGATACAAAGTACACATCCACTACAGTGACTAAAACTGGCTGCTAATTCCAAGTGTTGGTGAGGATGTGGTAGGACTGGAAATGCAAAATGGTATAGTCACTCTGGAAAACAGTCTGATGGTTTCTTATAAATTAAAATACATTTACTGTATTACTTTAGTTCTACTCCTTAGCAAACAAATTTAACCTAATGAAATGTACACACAAATTCAAAGACTATAAATGAATATTTACAGTAGCTGATTCCTTAACAGCCAAAAACAAATTAAAACAATTCAAATTTCATGGGGCAGATGCTGTGGCATAGCAACATCCCATATGGGTGCTGGTTCAAGTCCCGGATGCTCCATTTTCGATCCAGCTCCCTGTTGATGCGCCTGGGAAGACCAATTGAAGATGGCCCAAGTGCACCCACATGGGAGACCTGAACGAAGCACTTGGCTCCTGGCTTCAGATTGGTTTAGCTCTGACTGTTGCAGCCATTTGGGGTATGAACCAGCAGATGGAAAATCTCACTCTCTCTGTAAATCTGCCTTTCAAATAAATAAATCTTAAAAAAAAAGCACAATCCAAATTTCCAACAATTCGTGAACTGATAAACAAATTGTGGTAGATTCATTAAATGGAATATTACTCAGCAATAAAATGCAAGAAAATACTAATACCCACAACATGGATTAGTCTTGAAAGTATACTAATTAGCTCAAAAGAATACAAACTGTTTGATTCTACTTACATGATGTTCTAGAAAAGGCAAAAATATAGTGGCAAAAGATCAGATCAGTGTTTGCCAGGGATTTGGGTGGAAGGGACTGATCACAAAGGATTGAGGAGAATTTTTGGGGAAGCTGGAGACGTTGTATGTATCAAAGATCAGCAAGCTTCTTCTGTAAAGGGCCAGACAGTAAAAGCTTCAGGCTTTGCAAGGTGATATAATTTGTCACAACTTGTTTAACTCTGCCTTTCAATGCAAAAACTGCCTACAGACAAAATGTAAAAGAATGAACATGACTGTATGTATTTATGGACAATTAAATTTGAATTTTGTATGATTTTCACATCACAAGATATTGCTTTATTTATAGAAATTATTTAAAAAATATAAAGCAGGTAGGGCCACCGCCTGCAGTGCCCACATCCCATATGGGCACCGGTTCAAGTCCTGGCTGCTTCACTTTCAATCCAGCTCTCTGCTGTGGCCTGGGAAAGCAGTACAAGATGGCCCAAGTCCTTGGGCCCTGCACCAGTGTGGGAGACCCGGAGGAGGCTCCTGGCTCCTGGCTTCAAATTGGTGCAGCTCCGGCTGTTGCAGCCGTTTGGGGAATAAACCAGCTGATGGAAGACCTCTCTCTCTCTGCCTCAGCCTCTCTGTAACTCTGCCTTTCAAATAAAATAAATACATCTTTTTAAACAAAATATATAGGGGCCAGCGGTGTGGCGTAGTGGGTAAAGACGCTGCCTGCAATGCTGGCATCTCATATGGGCACTGGTTCGAGACCTGGCTGCTCCACTTCCTATCCAGCTCTCTGCTATGGCCTGGGAAAGCAACAGAAGATGGCCCAAGTCCTTGGGCCCCTGTACCCGTGTAGGAGACCCAGAAGAAGCTCCTGGCTCCTGGTTTCAGATCAGCACAGCTCTAGAACCAGCAGATGGAAGACCTCTCTTTCTTTGCCTCTCCTTCTCTCTCTAACTCTGACTTTCAAGTAAATAAATATTTTAATAAAAAAATATAAACACCATTCTTAGTTCACAAGCTGTACAAAAATAGATGGCCTATAAGCTGTGGTTTACCAATACCTGTTTTATAGTATGACTGTGGTAGTAGTTTTACATTATTCAAAATATATAACTGTATACTTAAAATTAGTGCATTTTATTGTATATAAGTTACATCTCAAAGCTGACAAAAAATAAAACATAAGCCATTCTATACATTTCAAATATTGCTAACAAAAATTGTATACTTAGTTCTGGTGTTGTAGCAGAGCAGGTTAAACTGCCACCTGCAATACCGGAATCCCATATGAGCACCAGTTCAAGTCTTGGCTGTTCTACTTACAATACAGCTCCTTGATAATGCACCTGGGAAAGCAGTGGAAGATGGCACAAGTACTTGGGCACCTGCCATGCATGTGGTGGACCAGGATGGAGTTCTAGATTTCTGGCTTTGGCCTGGTTGACTATTGTAGCCACTTGGGGAGTGAATTAGCAGATGGAAGATCTCTCTCTCTCTTTCTACCTCTCCCTTTCTCTCTGTAACTCTTTCAAAAATAAATCTTTTTAAAAATGATGTTCTAAATCTGCCACATATATACAGATGCAATACTTGATATTTCACTACAACACATAAGCCCTTTTATATATCATTTTTGCTATATATTCTTTTTTTAAAGATTTATTTTTTATTTATTTGGAAGGCAGAGTTACAGAAAGAGGAGAGGCATAGAGAGATAGAGAGAGCAAATGCATATGCTTCCATCCACTGGTTCACTTTCCAAATGGCCACAATGGCCAGGGCTGGGCCAGGCCAAAGCCAGGATCCAGAAGCTTCTTCTGGGTCTCTCACGTGGGTGCAGGAGCCCAAACTCTTGGACCATCTTCCTCTGCATTCCCAGGCACATTAGCGAGGAGCTGGATTGTAAGTGGAGCAGCTGGGACTCAAACCACTACCCATATGGGATGCCAGTGATGCAGGGAGAGGCTTAACCTGCCATGCACAACACCGGCCCCTATAGACTTATTCTAATGGGAAATGAAGTGGAGGATTTAAGTTGGGGTACATAAAGTTCACAATTGCACATTTTTACCTTTGGCTGAAAGGATTTTATTATAGTGAACAGCCATGTGATTCTTGACCAGCTGGAGAGTGCTTAATCTGAGAGAAGAGGAGTCAGTGCAAAAAGCTAAAAATTAAAACATATTTCATCATTATATAATTAAAATCAATATAAAACCATAAGTTAACGATTAAGTTCATTCTTATAAAATGTTCTGAAAGTCAACCTTACAGAAACTGATATTCTAGCTTTGTGATACCAAATATGGTCTATTATTTTCTTTTTTTAGAAAGCTTTTATTTAATAAATATAAATTTCATAGGTACAGCTTTTAGATTATGGTGGTTCTTTCCTCAATACCCGCCTCTCCCACCCCCACTCCTGTCCTACCTCCTACTCCCTCTCCCATCACATTCTTCATTAAGATTCATTTTTAATTATCATTATATATACAAGATCAACTCTATACTAAGTAAAGATTTGAACAGTTTGCATCCACACAGACACACAAAGTATAAAGTACTGTTTGAAGACTAGTTTTACTGTTAATTCTCATAGACAGAGGTCCTACATGGGGAGCAAGTGTACAGTGCCTTTTGCTATTGATTTAACAATTGTATGGTCTTAACCTCGCACTGACAACACTGATGACCCACTAATCACTTGGAAATCAAACCTTTCCAAGACTAAGTTTTACAGGCCTGAGTCTGGGAAAGAGATTCCAGAATCTAATCTATTACTACTTCTATAAAATAATTTTTTTATAGCTCTCAATCCAATAATTAAAAATGTTTAGCTACTTGCTTAGTTATAAAATAATGTTACCATTGTTAATATTTGAACAATCCAGGAAGCTTCTGAAATCAAATAAATCTCAAATTCCAAAACTTTACATAGGTTTTATATAAAGATCCTATTCTGAGAGGTAAATTTCTAACTTTACCTGAAAACAAGATCTACAAATCGGTTAAGTGAATTCTTTCTAAAGTACTAGGGCTATCTTAAGTATAATCACATAAAAATCCCATGACATTAAATTCTTTAACACTTACCCAAACTGTTTAAAACAAATCTTAGAAATACTTTCATACTTACATTCAAATATAAAATATATAGACTTAACTTTTTAAAACATAAAATCATTTTTAAGAATACATGCATATAGTTTTTAAAAATTCAACAATAAAAATAGCACAGAGATTGAAAAATGAGTGACTTGTCTATACTGACAGTTTAGTCTCCTCTCAGAAACACTCTCTGCTATGTTTTTTTTTGGCCCACATTATTTTGTTTTATTGTTACTTTTGCCCACTTCTCTGCTATTTTTTAAATGAGTTCTTCCTGGGAAACTATGCATAATATAAAGATATACATACAATAATTGTTGAGTTTTACTACTACTAAAAATATTTGTTAAACGGGTATCATTTGTCATGCATTGTTTTAAGCTTATCTGGTCATTATTATCATCACCTAACAGAGTGGAAACTAAGGCAAAGAGATATGAGTTGGGCTTTCAAGGTCACACCACTAACAGAGGATGTGCAGTTTGGATGTAAACCAAGGCAGCCTCATATTTACAACTACTGCACCTTTACGAACTCTGTACATGATTGTTTTTTTAAAAAAAGTTAGCAAACTTTACATATTGTTCTTTGTCCTCCTTTTCTATGTATGCATATTTTAAATCTAGTTTCAAATTTTTATTTAAAAAATTACTTTTCCAAGTTTGGTTCTGGAGGCCAACATCATGGCACAGCAAGTTAACCTGCCACCTGGAACTGGCATCCCAAATCAGAGTGCCACTTCCAATCCAGTTCCCTGCCAATGTGCCTGGGAAGGCAGTGGAAGATGGCTCAAATCCCTGGGCCCTGCTACCCAGGTGGGAGACCCAGATGGAGGTCTGGGCTCCTGGCTTCAGCCTGGCCCAGCCCTGGCCATTGAAGCTATTTGAGGAGTGAACCAATAGATAAAGAAAGATATTGCTGGGGCTGGCGCTGTGGTGTAGCGGGTAAAACCACTTCCTGCAGTGCTGGCATCCCATATGAGCACTGGTTCAAATCCTGGCTGCTCCACTTCCGATCCAGTTCTCTGCTATGGCTTGGGAAAGCAGAAGATGGCCCAAGTCCTTGGGCCCCTGCACCCGTGTGGGAGATCTGGAAGAAGCTCCTGGCTCCTGGCTTTGGATCAGCGCAGCTCCAGCTGTTGTGGACATCTGGGGAATGAACCAGTGGATGGAAGACCTCTCTCTTTCTCTCTCTCCTTCTCTCTCTGTGTAACTCTTCCAAGTAAATAAATAAATCTTAAAAAAAAAAAAGATATCACTGTCCTCCCCACCCTTTTTACCCCCCCACATAACTCTGCCGTTTGAATAAATTTTTTTTAAAAAAGCTGGATTTTGGCTCTCTCCCTCTCTCTATATATATGTATGCACACACACAAATACATATATATATACACACACACATATATACATACACACACACACAAACATGAAGAATTGAGACAACTGAAAATGTGATCATGTTTGGATGTAATGTCATCAAAGGTTTTTAAATACTAAATAATAAGAAAAAACAGATTTCAGTTATTTTGCCTAAAAACCCATACTTAAAACTTTTTATAATTATAAAAATTTTAAAACCAACAAGATGGGGCTGGTGTTGTGGTGTAGTGGGTTAAGCCACCGCCTGTTGGGCCGGCATCCCATGTGGGTGCCATTTCAGGTCCCGGTTGCTCCACTTCCAATCCAGCTCTCTGCTATGGCCTGAGAAAATAGTACTAGATGGCCCAAGTGCTTGGGCCCCTGTACCAGCGTGGGAGACCAGAAGAAGCTCCTGGCTCCTGGCTTTGGATTGGGCCAGCTCCGGCTGTTACGGCCGTTTGGAGAGTGAACCAGAAGATGAAAGATTCTCTCTCTCTCTGCCTCTGACTCTCCTTAACTCTGCCATTCAAATAAATAAATAAAAATCTTAAAAAAAAAAAAAAACCAACAAGTTTACTTTGAAGGCTTTAAAATATAAAACTGGGGCCATGATCCTGGCACAGGTTAAGCTGCCATTTGCAATACAGGCATCCTATAGGGGAATGCGATTCAAGATCCAGCAGCTCCACTTCTTTTTTTTTTTTTTTTTTTTTGACAGGCAGAGTGGACAGTGAGAGAGAGACAGAGAGAGAAAGGTCTTCCTTTGCCATTGGTTCACCTTCCAATGGCCGCCACGGCCGGCGCACCACGCCGATCCGATGGCAGGAGCCAGGTGCTTATCCTGGTCTCCCATGGGGTGCAGGGCCCAAGCACCTGGGCCATCCTCCACTGCACTCCCTGGCCACAGCAGAGAGCTGGCCTGGAAGAGGAGCACCCGGGACAGAATCCAGCACCCCAACCGGGACTAGAACCTGGTGTGCCGGCACCGCAAGGCGGAGGAATAGCCTAGTGAGCCGTGGCGCTGGCCTCACAGCTCCACTTCTAATCCAGTTCCTTACTAATGAGCCAGGAAAAGCAGAAGTTGGCCCAAGTACTTGGGCCCCTTGTACCCATATGGGAGACCAGGATGGAGTTCCAGGCTCCTGGCGTCAGCACGGCCCAGCCCTGAATAGAAGACAGCTCTGTGTTTCTCCCTCTCTTTGTAATTCTGCCTTTCAAATAAATAAATAAAAATCCTTTTTAAAAACATGTCTTTATTTTTATTTTTGAAAGATTTATTTATTTTTTATTTGAAAGGCAGAGCTACAGAGAGAGATAGAGAGAGTCTTCCATCTGCTGGTTCAGCCCCCCAACTGGCCGTAATGGCCGGAGCTGAGCCAATCTGAAGCAAGGAGCCTCTTCTGGGTCTCCCACGTGGATGCAGGGACCAAAGACCTGGGCCATCCTCCACTGCTCTCCCAGGCCATAGCAGAGAGCTGGATCGGAAGCGGAGCAGCTGGGACTCAAACTGGCACCTATATGGGATGCCAGCACTGCAGGCGGTGGCCTTACCCCCTGTGCCACAGCACCCACCTCAACAGCAGTCTTTTAACAAAGTAACTATTTTAAGTACCTTACTTACCATTACTTTTGGTACTCAAGTGTCCTTTAAATAGGCTTGGTGGACCATATCTGGGAAGGACAGGGGTTGCTCTGACTTTTACCCAAAACAAACACAAACACAAAGTATTAGGATAAATGAAAGAGGATTTCACAAAGAATATTTTAAAAATAATTTATGTTTACCAGTCATTCAAGATTTTATTCAATCACATTATTATTCAGCAATGATATATCAAATGGCAAAAATTCAACACAGATAAAAAGCTTCACCTTTTAAGAACATAAGCATTTTTGATCAGCTGTTCCTTGGGGCTTAAGTTTCATTGGGTAAAATGATAAATTATCAACTGCATCATTTGATATATATTGGCTTTATTCTGTACTCCACTGATCTATATTTTTAAACTATTTGGAGATAATATAGCTAAGATTTTGATAAATAGGTATTAACCTACAGTTAATTGTAGATTAGTCTATCCTTGGAAGTAAATTTTAAGATAGTAATCGTTTCACAAAGTTAGTAAATTTACAAATTATATCATGTTACTAGGTATAAAACAAGTATATAAAAATCAGAATCAGGGGGCCGGCGCTGTGGCATAGCGGGTAGAGCTGCTTCCTGCAGTGCCAGCATCCCATATGGGCTCCGGTTTGAGTCCTGGCTGTTCCTCTTCCAATCTAGGTCTCTGCTATGGCCAGGGAAAACAATGGAAGATGGCAAGTCCTTGGACCCCTGTACCCGTGTGGGAGACCTGGAGAAAGTTCCTGGCTCCTGGCTTTGGACAGCTCCAGCTGTTGCGGCCATCTGGGGAGTGAACCAATGGATGGAAGACCTCTCTCTCTCTCTCTCTCTCTCTCTGCCTCTCCTTCTTTCTCTGTGTAACTCTCTCAAATACGTAAATAAATCTTCGGAAAAAAAATCAGAATCAGAGTATATGATTTCAAGTCTTAAGGTTCACCTAGCCCAACCTACTCAACCCTTGTTTAGATCCCATCAAAAAGCACATAATTAGGGCTGATGTTGTGGCACAGCAGGTAAGGGTGCTCTTGCAGCACCTAGCTGCTCCCCTTCCAATCCAGCTGCCTGGAAATAGTCCTGGGAGAGCATCAGAGGATGTCCCAAGTACTTGGGCCGCTGCCACTCATGTGGAAGACTTGGATAAAGCTCCTGACTCCTGACTTTAGCCTGACTTAGCCCGGCTGTTGTAGCCATTTTAGGCATGAAATAACAGTGTCTCTGCCTCTCTCACTCTGCCTTTCAAATAAATAAAATAAATCTTAAAAAAAAAAAGCATACTTTAAAAGTAATTCTAGAGCTGGTGCTGTGGTGCAGCGGGTTAAAGCCCTGGCCTAAAGCGCCGGCATCCCATATGGATGCTAGTTCTATTCCCAGCTGCTCCTCTTCCAATCCAGCTCTCTAATATGGCCTGGGGAAGCAGTAGAAAATGGCCCAAGTCCTTGGGCCCTTGCACCCACATGGGAGGCCCAGAAGCTCCTGGCTTCTGACTTTGGATTGACTCAGCTCTGGCCATTGAGGCCATCTGGGGAGTGAATCAGCGGATGGAAGACCTCTCTCTCTCTGTCTCTAGCTCTCTCTGTAACTCTTTCAAACGAATAAAATAAATCTTTTTTTTTTTTTTAATTCCATATAATGGAAAACTCTCCCCTAAAGGCAGAGTTTGATCTTCTAGACTGTTAGGCTTTAGGATTTTCTATGTCCTAACAGATGAGAAGGTGGCCAGTTAAAGTAGAAAATCCCATGTGTATGCTGGTTCATGTCCCAGCTGCTCCACTTATGATGCAGCTCCCTCCCCCCGGGAAAGCAGCAGAGGATGGCCCAAGGACTTGGGTCCCTAGCCCCAACGGAGAGACCTGGATCAAGCTCCTGGCTTCTGTCCCAACCCAGGGTTTTGTGGCCATCGAGGAGTGAACCAGTATGGAAGATCTCTCTGTGTCTCCCCTTCTCTAGCTCTGCTTTTCGAAAGACAAAAAAAAGGGGGGGGGGAGAAGAGGGGAAGGGAGAGAGAAAGAGAGAAAAGGAAAGATAAGAAAGAAAACAAAACAGGACAGTGTGGTAAAGGGGAAGTAAGGCTGCAGCTTACCCAGACAGCAGGCAGCAGGGGTCTGAGAAGAGATTCAGCCCTAGGCAACAGCCTAGTATGCTATTTGCTGGGAGGGGCCACGTGGAGGCGCAGAGACCTACGTCCATCTGACCAGGTGGGTTTGGATGGGCAGAACCCCTGATTCACAGTGTATGGGCATTGTCAGTTTGGTATTTCTAGGGCAGGGCACTCGGAGTAGTTGGAGCAGAACTGATAGGGTACCAGGTAGTAAACTTGTCAGGCTTGGGATGAACTATTTGTGCACCAATGCACCAAAGTTTTTAGAATTAACTATTTGTGTTCCAACAGCCTAGCAAGTCCTAACACAGACTATATGGGGTGTTGGAAAATTACATTTTGACCTTATTACAAAATAATTTCTCACTTCAAAAAGTGATTTGATTTTTAGTACTAATCATTAAAACAGAAAGGCTGAGTTAACACTAAATGTAACAAACATACTGTCGCTCCCCCTCTTCGTGGAGGAACGACACAGGACCCTGCGCTGTTCTTTCGTCTGCTCGGCCCTCCCCGGGTTTGCTGCTGGTTCTTCCTGGGTTGGCTACCGTCCCTTCCACCTCCGTGGAAGGGCGGTTCCCCCTGCCACATTCCCCACTTCCGCGGGGGAGCGGCACACCGCCGGCCGGCTCTCTCGGGGGCTGCACAGGTGTTCCTTCAGATAGATGTTCCTGGTGCATGTTGTCTCTCTCCTCCTTTATAGTCCTCTTCCACCAATCCCAACTCTGCTACCCACACACCGAGTACGCTGCTCTCCTCCAATCAGGAGCAGGTCCTACAGTTTATTGGTTGAACTGGAGGCAGCTGTGTAGCTGTTTCTCCCTTCTCAGCGCCATATTGTGGGAGAGCAGATGCATAGAATAAGTCTTAATTCCAGTAACTCAGTCCAGTCTGGGTTGCTCCCCACACATACAAATACAAACACAATATTCCTAAGAGACAGGATTTTAAGAGGGTAAAATGGCTAGTGTATCAATCAGGCTGTTAAAGCTATAAAGCTGTGGGGAGAACAAATACAAAGTCTAGAAGAAATAAGCATCAAGATAGAAGGATCTAAAATTCAGGACCAGAGAGCAAAACTTGCTGGAATAAAAACAACCGGAGATAGAATGTCTATGAAGCTCCTTCTACGTCACAGGTCAGAGCTGGAAGGAAAAAAATTACCTTCTTTCAGATAGTACAAGTCAAGGTGATGCTGTTTGAGCCAGTGCTGAAGAATCATGAAATTAGCTTAGTTTTTGCAAGGTGTCCGGTGTGTAATAGATCTTCCCAGGCAGACGAATCAATTAATTCACAAGCTTTTATTGGGATTCCGCTCCTGGGTGAGGTTCACGGGTCCCAACAGAGCAACAGAGTGGAGCGGGGCGGGGCTGGGGAAGTCGCGCCTTAGAGGTTGGGAGAGCTCCTTATGATACAGGGTGTGGGGTTAAAGGTTGAGGCAGGTCTGATCCTCATTGGTTGACCTTTAGGCACCCGTGCGGACCTTGACAAGGACTTTTCTTCCCCAGAAGTACAGGTAGGGACTCTCCATTCCTGGAAGTATAGGCCTTCTCTCCTTGCGGATCCCAAAACTACCAGTTTTACCAGCAAAGAAAGGCATCTGAGATCTAACCATAAATCAAAAACCCCTTTTTTAAAAACCTTACTTCTCTGGGGCTGGTGTTGTGTCGTGGTAGGTAAAGCTGATGCCTGTGATACCGTCAACCCATATGGGTACCAGTTCATGTCCTGGCTGCTCCATTTCCAACTGAGCTCCCTGTTAATGGCCCAAGGAGACCAGGATGAAGCTCCTGGTTCTTGGTTTCGGCCTGGTCCAGTGCTGGCTGTTGCAGCCATCTGGGGAGTGAACTGGTGAATGGAAGATTTCTCTTTCTCTTTCAAAATAAATCTTTAAAGAAAAAAAACCAAACCCCAACTTACTTCTCCAGAGGAAACAAGTGCCCAACTTTACTACTGCCTACAGCTCAATGCTTCTTTATCTGAAAATAGTACCTCAGCTTTCCTTTGGGGGAACTGCTCCTCCTCTTGGCCCTGGTGGTTTGAATACAGCTAATATTACTACCCAAGATCGGGCACAGACTCCTAATCTGGCCAACTGGCCACTGAGACACAAGCCCAGGACTTCTACTGAAACCATTAGGTAAGATGCCTTTTCCTCACTGGGCCTGTTATGCCCATGTAGAATGTGAGCAAGCCCTGTACTGCCACTGGCCATCTTACACCACACAAGGGGAACCTGAGAAAGACCACCCAGCGGAAAGCCAAACCCTGGTAGAAAGACTCCTTGTAACAATGTTTGAGATACTGGCGCCGAGGATGTTTAAGGCTTTACCTTCCTTAGACTTTTCTGAGTCAAAAACTTCCCATTTTAGCTTGTCAGTTTGAGTCAGGTTTCTTTTGGTATAGTCAAAATGTTAATTGACTGAGTACTAACTGTACAGGCACTGCTCTAAGCACTTTGCAGGTATGAATTCACTTAATTCTAATTAATTCATTTTACTATTAGATAAGTGCTATAATTTTTCCCACTTTGGAGGTGAGATTGGATGAAGCATAAAAAGGTTAAGGTCGTAATCTGCCCATGATTACATAGCAATGATATGACAGGTTTGGGATTGGGAGCCCACACAGTCTTGTTCCTGAGTCTTAACTATTACATTTTTTTAAAAAAAATGTATTATTATTTTATTCATTTATTTGACAGGTAGAGTTATAGACAGTGAGAGAGACAGACAGACAGAAAGGTCTTCCATCCATTTGTTCACTCCCTAAATGGCCGCTACGGCCGGCACTGTGCCAATTCGAAGCCAGGAGCCAGGTGCTTCTTCCTGGTCTCCCATGAGGGTGCAGAGACCCAAGCACTTGGGCCATCCTCCAGTGCCCTCCCGGGCCACAGCAGAGAGCTGGACTGAAAGAGGAACAACTGAGACTAGAACCTGGTGCCCATATGGGATGCCAGTGCCGCAGGCGGAGGATTAACCAAGTGACTCACGGCGCTGGCCACTATTACACTATCTTAAACAATCTACATTGCTAAGATTTTGAACCATGCTTTAAGTTACTATATCAAATGAAACAGACTAAGAAAATACCTCAACTCTATGTGGTTTATTCTTTCCAAATTCCATTCTATTGTATACATGTTTCACTACAGGAAAAAATGGTATATCCAGAGAAGTAAAACAGAAAGGCTATGTTCTCTGGTCTACTTACCCTGGAATGGGCTTATACTTACTGGTGTCTAACATGCTGACAGATAAAAGTCCCATTAAAATTAACAGAATTAAAGGGTGAAATAGAGAACTCAATTCATCTGGGCTCTCTTACAGCCGGTTTCTGGTTCCTGCTTTGTTTCCTGTGTATGGATCAAGCTTTCCTATTTCTTTGCATGACACTAGATTTTTCTGTCGATAGATGAATATTTTAGATAACAAACTACAGCAATTCTGGATACAGAACCCTCTCCCGGGCCCATTTTTACTGTTGTTTATGTGTTCTGTTTGTTTAGTGATTGACTATGCAATTTAATGAAGTCTATTTCCCATGGAGTGTGAAGCCTCTGACGTCCTCTCTCAGTGACGAAGCTTTGGGCAGGTGCAGTTTTACCTTCTCCATCAGGGTCTGGACCCACGTCTTTGGGATGAGGGCCTCCTTTCAAATGTGACTTTCCTTTAGTACTCTCCATCGGCTCTAGGGTACCTTATAGTTTTCTTCTATCTTACAGTTACTTATTTATGACAGTTTAACAATTTTTTAAACTTTTCTTGTTCAAGTCACTATGTGGATTCTGTCTTCTGACGAGACTTGAATGACTCCATGGAGCAGGGGAAAGTAGCCCCAAACCAGATGACAAGAAAAAGAACACGATCCTCTAATTAGGTTAGGACTAAGATCCTACACTTGAGATTGAAGGTCTTAGTAGGGCAGTGAAATTCAGCAGTGTGTGACAGCAGCCCAGTTTCCTACATAATTTGAGTTTAGAGATAGCCCAAAGGAACTCCCCAGAGGAAAGGTGATGGTGCTTCCCAGGAATACCAGAAGTTTGAGAGTCGGCAATAAATATCTTCAAGGGACAAACAGATTTAAAGAAATATTTTAAAAACTGATTGAGAGAAAGAAAAGCAGAGGGAGAGGGAGAGGCACGCAGAGGAAGCTCCCATCTGTTGGTTCAATCTCCAAACACCTGCAATGGCCCAAGCTGGGCCAGGACAAAGCCAGGAGCTAGGAACTCAGTTCATTCAGGTCTCCCATGAGGGTGGCAGGGACTCAACTCCATAAGCCATCATCTGCTGCCTCCTAGGGTGTGCATTAGCAGGAAGCTGGAACTGGGGCAGAGCTGCGACTCAATAGGGCACTCTAATGCTGGGAATCTCAACCAGTGTCATAACCACTAGGCCACATGCTTGATCCGAAAATTTTTTTTCAAGCTATATTCATAAGTTGTTTCCTTTCTTTTTCTCCCCAAAAGTCATGGACAAAACAGTGTATGGCAGTTCGATACTTTCAATCTTTTCTTCTCACTCCCTACAAGACCCTGGAAACATAACATACCCCCTTTCAGATTATCAAGTCCAAGCATCCATTTTACAAATAATTAAAGCCCAGGGAGATAAAGTGACTTGCTGATTACCTAGCTAATAACAAAGATTATAAACAACATTATCCTTTCTACTACACTGTTATTATGAAGATTTACCCTACCAAAAAAAGTCTAAAATTATGACTACAATAAGAAAATGACAAAGACCACTTTTTCTTCTTTAGGCACTTTACTATTTTATGCTCTGAAATAATCAAAAGTAACCTAATGAAATCTAAGAAATTTACTTTTAATTATTTTATCTTTGCTTAAATTTGAGAACTGCCCCCAGATATTAGTTGATTTAATTAAATTCACGATCACTAACAATGTTTGATAGTACTATAATTACACAGTATCCTAAAAATGAAGCAAATTGGGTAAGTTATAAAAATTGGTTAAATCCTTTTACATTTTGATATGTATCTAATTTCAACCATCTTTCCATAAACAAATACTGAGAATTTAGTAAATCTATTGCACTTGATGTTCTATATGTATCCTTTCTTCATCCTCCTGCCTCTACCATGTGATGTAGGAATAAAAAGCACTGCATATCCCGCACCTGGATCAAAGCTTGTCCTGCTGCTTACTGAGGTCTTGCCAAGTTTCTTATGGTCCCTTACTTTAGTTTATTCTCTGTGAAATAAGGATAATACCTAACAATATGTTTTTGTGTATTAAATGAGATCATTTGGGACTGATTCTTGGTATACAACCCAAAGGTTTAATGTTAGCTGCGTTGTAAAATTTCTGAGGGTCATAAAAGTATTTTGGAGCCAGCGCCATGGCTCACTAGGCTAATCCTCCGCCTTGTGGCGCCAGCACACCGGGTTCTAGTCCCGGTTGGGGTGCCGGATTCTGTCCAGGTTGCCCCTCTTCCAGGCCAGCTCTCTGCTGTGGCCAGGGAGTGCAGTGGAGAATGGTCCAAGTGCTTGGGCCCTGCACCCCATGGGAGACCAGGAGAAGCACCTGGCTCCTGCCATCAGATCGGCGTGGTGCGCCCGCCGTGGCGGCCATTGGAGGGTGAACCAAGAGCAAAGGAAGACCTTTCTCTCTGTCTCTCTCTCTCACTGTCCACTCTGCCTGTCCAAAAAAAAAAAGTACTTTGGTTTGTTTTTTCTGGAACTTTGGTTAAGATGCCAGATTATACAGTTTTCTGATCAACGGGGTTCTTTCTTCGGAAGAGCATTTATTTTGATCGGAGATTACACATCAAAGGCGCACTCAAGGAATCATCCAGTAGTAACTTAGCTCAAAGGCACCCTTTTACAGATGAAAACCTTGCATTGGGAGCAGGGGAGGGGAGTCTGGAGACTGCCTACTTCAGCCTGAGGAAAGCATGTTCCTGGCTCGGTGTGAAGATACAAATTGTTGGATCTGGCCTATCTGTATTGCCTTAATTCCGTCAGGATACCCACTTGACTCGGAACGTCAAGAAGGGCAGGTGTAAGAGCTAACGGCGATTATGGATTAGTCCTTTGCTGCCAAACTCTAGTCCCAGACCAGCAAGCAAGCCTCACCTGGAAGCTCAGTAAAAAGGCAAACATCTCAGCCCAGACCTACTACAGCATAAAGTCCACCTCAGCATGACTGCTAGGGGGTTCCTGGTCACGGTGCAGAGAGGAGCCTGGGTCAGTCGACAGTTTGAGGGAGGCGAGACTAAAGCCTTGGCCATTTGGGATATTTCGTATTTACTTGTGCCGGAACTTTCTCTTTAATACCAGGTCCGGATACCTGATCGCCACACTCAAGAGACGGGGGGCCCTGATTCTGGGTCCCGGGAGGTTTGCTTTCCGAAGAACAAACCCGGCTGGTTCCGCGGCCTCGGAGCTCCCGGTGCACAGCGCGAGCTCAGGAGACTCGGCCTCCCGGGTCAGCGCGACTCATTCTGCGCCAGGAAGCGGACCTGCGAGCCTGGGCCGAGAGCCTGTTCTGCGCAGGGAACAGTCGGGGCTAACCCGGGGCCGGCGCGCTGCCCCAGCCCGGCCGAGAACCGAGGCCCGCCTTTTACCTCTCCGGCTGCCATCCATGTGCGTCCTCTTGCAGCCGCTGTGGGACAAGCCGGGTCCCTTCGGTCTTCCCCAGGCTGGGCCCAGCCCCGGTGGTTCAGGTTTGGTGAAGAGGAGCGGGCGGGAGACTGTAACCAGGCCGGTTGCTAAGGCCCGGTCCTCGCCGTCGTGTTTGTGACGTCACGGCGTAGGGGACGTGCGCTCCCGCAGCCCCGCCCCCGGGGGGGAGACAGGCAGGGCGTGGGCGGGGCTTCGGCGGATGGCAGGGACTGGGCGGGGACACAGCACAGGTCGGGTTCTGGGAGTCTGCCAGTCCTCCACAGAGCGGCCTGGTAGGGGCGGTCACCAGGCCCTGGAAAGCTTCGTCTCTGCGGAAAGAGCTGGTAGAGGAGCTCTCAGCTGCATCTGTATCCTCTGGGTCCTGGAAAAAGCTCAAACCCAAGGGTTAGTTGAAGTCAGGGTAATAACATTTAACCAGTTTCAAATAATCAGATTTCTTTATATATATATATATGTATATATACATATTTAACTTTTATTAAATAAATATAAATTTCCAAAGTACAGCTTTTGGATTATAGCGGCTTTTTTCCCCCATAACCACCCTCCCACCTGCAACCATCCCATATCCCACTCCCTTCCCCATCCCATTCTTCATGAAGATTCATTTTCAATTATCTTTATATACAGAAGATCAACTTAATATATACTAAGTAAATAGTTCAACAGTTTGCACCCACACAGAAACACAAAGTACCGTTTGAGTACTAGTTATACCGTTAATTCACATAGTACAACACATTAAGGACAGAGATCCTACATGAGGAGTAAGTGCACAGTGACTCCTGTTGCTGACTTAACAAATTGACACTCTTGTTTATGATGTCAGTAATCACCCTAGGCTCTTGTCATGAGCTGCCAAGGCTATGGAAGCCTCTTGATTTCACCAACTCTGACCTTATTTAAACGAGGTCATAGTCACCAAGTGGAAGTTCTCTCCTCCCTTCAGAGAAAGGTACCTCCTTCTTTGATGGCCTGTTCTTTCCACTGGAATCTCACTCACAGAGATCTTTCATTTAGATCATTTTTTTTTTTTTTAACCACAGTGTCTTGGCTTTCCATGCCTGAAATACTCTCATGGGCTTTTTAGCCAGATCCGAATGCCTTAAGGGCTGATTCTGAGGCCAGAGTGCTGTTTAGGACATCTGCCATTATATGAGTCTACTGTGTATCCCGCTTCCCATGTTGGATTGTTCTCTCCCTTTTTTATTCTATCAGTTAGTATTTGCAGACACTAGTCTTGTTTGTGTGATCCCTTTGACACTTAATCCTATCATTATGATCAATTATGAACTCAAACTGATCACTTGGACTAGTGAGATGGCATTGGTACATGCCATCTTCATGGGATTGAATTGGAATCCCCAGGCACGTTTCTAACTCTACCATTAGAGGTAAGTCCGATTGAGCATGTGTCGAACTGTACATCTCCTCCCTCTCTTATTCCCACTCTTGTATTTAACAGGGATCACTTTTCAGTTAAATTTAAACACTTAAGAATAATTGTTGTGTTAATTAAATAGTTCAACCAATGGTATCAAATAATCAGATTTCAAAATAGTCTGTGAACTCTAAGATTAGTGAAAATACTGGAGGTTAAAAAGCATCTACATATTTTTTAAACATACTATAGTTTACTAGGTTTTTAAAAAATCATATGAAATTTTCATTTTTTACAAAGATTTATTTATTTGAGAGGCAGAGTTACAGAGAGAGAGAGAGAGGGAGAGGGAGGGGGAGGGTGAAGGGGAGAGGGAGAGGGAGAGAGAGAGAGATCATCCATCCACAGGTTCACTCAAATGGCTGCAACAGCTGGGACTGGGCCAGGCTGAAGCCAGGAGCCAGAGTTTCCTCCAGGTCTCCCACGTGGGTACAGGGGCCCAAGCACTTGGGCCAGCTTCTACTGCTTTCCCAGGTGCATTAGCAGAGATTTGGATAGGAAATGGAGCAGCTGGGACTTGAACTGGTACCCATATGAGATGCCAGCACTGCAGGCAGCAGCTTAACCCATTATTCCACAATGCTGGCCCCAACATTTCTTTTTTTTTAAATGTAAGCGTTTAATGGTATTAACTTCCCTTTTAATACAGCTTTCGATGTATTGCATAGATTTGGTATGATGTGTGTGTGTGTGTGTGTGTGTGTGTGTTTTAATTTAATTTTTATTTACTTGACAGGCATAATTACAGAGAGGGGGAGAGAGGGATCTTCCATCCGCTGGTTCACTTCCCAGATGGCTGCAACAGCCAGGGCTGGGTCAGGCTGAAGCCAAGAGCCAGGAGCTTCTTTTGGTTCTCCCACATGGATCCAAAGACCCAAGTACTTTGGGCCATCCTTCACAGCTTCCCAGGTGCATTAGCAAGGAGCTGGATTGGAAGTGGAGCAAGCCAGGACTTGAACTGACACCCATTTGGGATGTCAACACTACAGGTGGCTGCTTTACCTGCTATGCTATAGCACTGGCTCTGTTATGTTGGGTTTTCATTTTCATTTATCTCAAAAAGTTTTGACTTTTTTTAATTTTTTCAGTGACCCGTTGATCATTCAACAGCATATTGTTTAATTTCCAAGTATTTATGAGTGTTCTATTGTTCTTCTTTGTTGTTGATTTCTAGTTTTATTCCTTTATGGTCTGAGAAGATACATGGTATGATTTCAATATATATTTTTTTTTGACAGGCAGATTTAGACAGTGAGAGAGAAAGAGACACAGAGAAAGGTCTTCCTTTTCCATTGGTTCATCCCCCAAATGGCCGCTACAGCTGGCGTGCTGCACCGATCCAAAGCCAGGAGCCAGGTGCTTCCTCCTGGTCTCCCATTCGGGTGCAGGGCCCAGGGACTTGGGCCATCCTTTACTGCTTTCCCGGGCCACAGCAGAGAGTTGGACTAGAAGAGGAGCAACTGGGACAGAATCCGGCGCCCCAACCGGGACTAGAACTGGGGTGCTGGCGCCACAGGCGGAGGATCAGCCAAGTGAGCCATGGCACTGGCCTGATTTCAATATTTTTAAATTTGCTGAGACTTGATTTTTGGCCTCATGTCGCTCCCCCTCTTCGTGGAGGAACGACACAGAACCCTGCGCTGTTCTTTTGTCTGCTCTGCCCTCCCTGGGTTTGCTGCTGGTTCTTCCCGGGTTGGCTACCGTCCCTTCCACCTCCGTGGAAGGGCGGTTCCCCCTGCCACTTTCCCCACTTCCGCGGGGGAGCGGCACACCGCCGGCCGGCTCTCTCGGGGGCTGCTCAGGTGTTATTCGGATAGATGTTCCTGGTGCATGTTGTCTCTCTCCTCCTTTATAGTCCTCTTCCACCAATCCCAACTCTGCTACCCACACGCCGAGTACGCTGCTCTCCTCCAATCAGGAGCAGGTCCTGCTGTTTATTGGTTGAACTGGAGGCAGCTGTGTAGAAGCTGTTACTCCCTTCTCAGCGCCATATTGTGGGAAAGCAGATGCATAGAATAAGTCTTAATTCCAGTAACTTAGTCTAGTCCGAGTTGCTCCCCACAGCCTCATATGTGGTCTCTCCTAGAAAATATCCCAAGTGCTGATGAGAAGAGAGTGTATTCTGTGGCCGTTGGGTGAAAAGTTCTGCAAATGTCTGTTAGGTCCATTTGCTCAATAGTTTGTTTAAACGCCAATGTATATTTATTGATTTTTTTGTCTGAATGATCTGTCCATTGATTAGAGTGGGGTGTTGAAGTCACCCACTGTTATTGTATTGGAGTCTATCCTTTTGGGTCTAATAGTGTTTTCTGTCTATATATCTGCATGTTCTTGTGTAGAGTGCATATATATTTATGATTATGTCTTCTTGCTGAATTGAACCTTTTATCAAAATATAATGTCCTTCTCAATCTCTTTACAGATTATGATTTAAAGTCTGTTTTATCTGATATCAAGGATAGTTGTGCCTACTTGCCTTGGGTTTCCATTTGCCTGGTATAACTTTTTCTAACCATTCACTTTCAGTCTGTGTGATCTTTGTTTTAGCTTACTATCTTCTAAGACTCCTATCAGAAGAGCTGACCATGAGGGAATTCAGGCTTAAGGGAGCAAGTTTGGAACACTATAACCAAGAAAGGGCAATAAACAAAGAAGAGGTAACATCTGAATACCTGGTTCCCTAACACCTAGGGCGGGGGGCTATTAAATTCAAAATTTGAGGAGTGTGAAAATGGCTCTGTGGCCCCGACAGCAAAGGTCACTTAGAAGAATATACAGTCAGTCAGTCAGATGTTACCCAGGAAACAGACACTATTTCCTACCTGCTCATTATTGCTTGAAATCCCTTTCTAAGATCATGAACATTTTAATTCCACTATTAGCAGCTGGAAAATATCTCACATGTAATAGGCCTTAGGTATTAAGCATTTGGTAAATTGAATTAGTGCTAAAGGCTAAAATACCCTTGAGAAAGACAAAACAATGACTTGATGCAAGCAAAGGTGAGAGAGAGAGAGAGAGAGAGAGAGAGAGAGAGAGAGAGAGAGAGATGTCGCTCCCCCTCTTCGCGGAGGAACGACACAGGACCCTGTGCTGTTCTTTTGTCTGCTCGGCCCTTCCCGGGTTTGCTGCTGGTTCTTCCCGGGTTGGCTGCCGTCCCTCCACCTCCATGGAGGGGCGGGCCCCCCTGCCACTTTCCCCACTTCCGCGGGGGAGCTGCACACTGCCGGCCGGCTCTCTCGGGGACTGCTCAGATGTTCCTCAGGTGTTCCCTTTAGATGTTCCTGGTGCATGTTGTCTCTCTCCTCCTTTATAGTCCTCTTCCACCAATCCCAACTCTGCTACCCACATGCCGAGTACGCTGCTCTCCTCCAATCAGGAGCAGGATCAGCTCCTGCAGGTTATTGGTCGAACTGGAGGCAGCTGTGTAGAAGCTGTTACTCCCTTCTCAGCGCCATATTGTGGGAGAGCAGATGCATAGAATAAGTCTTAATTCCAGTAACTTAGTCTAGTCCGAGTTGCTCCCCACAGAGAGAGAGAGAGAGAGAGAGAGAGAATCGTCCATTCGCCAAGTTGTCTAATAAAAGCAGATTTTAGGATGAAAAGTAGATCTTGTTGTGAAGTAAGAAACCATGATTCAGAGAGGATAGCAGAATGGGAGAAGATTCCCAAGGCAACATTGCAAGGTATCCCACTTCACCTAAAACCATTTTTAATGGAATGCTTTGTCTTTTCAGTGTTTCGTTTCAATTCTTTCAAGAATGTGTGAACAATAGGGCCTATTTCTCTACAATTTTCACATTGAATGTGCTGTCATAAGTGCATTTAGGTTGTCCTTTGTTTTTGCTCTGTGTGTGTAAACAAGAGAAAGTCCTTTTGGGTTGCTGTTCCCAGGAGATAATCTATGATCCCAGGCAGATGCACTCAGCTAGCCTGAGCTTATGATAGAGTGAGCTCCCCAAAACATCCTTCCTTTGGGGGGGATTACCACCAGCTGCAATGACCTTGGATAGTAAGCATTCTGAAGACCTTTGTTGGATACAGAAACATGAATTTCACATTCAGAAATTATTCTAGTGCTATGATTTTATTATTAATATTTATAAATCTGTATATGTATGGTTTAGAAGGAAAATTTTGTCTCCCCTAATGAATTGGCCTGTGTAAGCCCATTATTAGATTTCCCTTATTGTCTTAGCTGACAGGAAGCTTAAAACTAAGCTTTGTCTTCAGTTATGATAACTATTCATAGCCTATTTCTCTACCTATCTCTTTAAGTCCCATCACTGTGAATGTGGCTTTTATTCTCCTACTCTATTTTAATGATTTAATTAGACTTATTAAATGATCTCTAAGCCCTTTGGAAATGGAGCTATAAATAAAATAAAATGTGTATAGTACATGCTATAACATATAGTCTAATTCACATAATATATTTTATTATCTTAAAATGTCTTATTATTATACACTTGATCTATATATTTATATATGACCTGTAATTTCATAATACAGAGGATTACTGGAATTCATGTTTCTCTGGACATGTTTAGCAACATCAATGAAAATCATCCAATAAATGCAGTAATAGCAACAAGAAGCAAAAGTCCAAATAATCCTTTTATATTCAACAGGTTATTCAGAATATATTTTAATCCTTAAGGTATCTGAAGGACAAAGGTGAAAGAAATTTAAGGAACTTTTTAAGGTCTACATTTCAGGGCAGAATAAAATAAATAGGGTTAAATGCTGAATGCATACTTTGTATTGACCTCAGTTTCCAAACAAAATCCCTTAGATTTTGGTTATTGAAGAATGCCTGAGAATTCGAGTTGTTGACTATTATCAGTCATTTTCCAATCAAATTACTGTAGACATTGGTTCCCTTAATAGCTAATCGAGAAAATGGAACTGTACAACTTGCTGTTCTTAGCATGTTACCAACAAATGGATCAA